TCTGGAGGGCAGCCAAAGCAGTGACTCCTGCCTTAGTTTGCAGACAGCCCCGAAGTGTGGTTCTGGGAGAGAAAGCCGAAGATTGGGCAACCTTCCAAGACAGCCCAGCATCACAGGTGTGCACTTCCTCTGGAAGTGGCAGGGCCCTTTGTTGCCAGCCTTGCTTTTCCAGGCAAGGGCTCTGGCAAACACTTAGAGGTGCAAAGATCCTCACTATTGAGGATCAGAGGATTATCTATTGAGGAAAAGAGGATGATCTGTATTGCCTTTCCTCTTCCACATTTTTCCTCTTTTCCTTTAAAAAGATGGGTTGAGACTGTTGGGGGCCTGGGACATCCCTGTTCAACAGTAGTCTGAAAGATACAGAACAAAAAAAGGTGGCCAGAGATGGATCTTGATGCTCTCTGTCTATCTTCTGCCATGGACAGTCTTTAGGAGTCTTTGTAGCAGGATATGAAATAGAGCACTCCTGAACTTGTCCTGGCACAGGTTATTATCTGAAATGTGTTGAGGCACACACAGATAGAAAACACATTCCCTAAAGTGGAGATAGTCCTGCCTCTCAGGCTATCAGTAATGTGGTCTTTGATCCTGAAAAGGCACCTGGCTATTTGCGTGCTTTGGTTTCCCCCTTTGACAGCTAAAATAAAAATCCTTCCCCAATATTGCTATAATATTTTAAGAAATCAGTGTTTGTAGCTATCTGCTTTGCTCCTCTGCCAGGATTTTATTACTCAGCAGCAGGAATGACAGACATAGACAAACATCTGCATCTCAGCTACTCTAGTGCAAAATATTATATCTTTGGTGGGAAAAGGGAGCCACAGCAGTGTGGATTTAACAAACAGCTGAAGCACAGGTATACATGAATGAAAGGCAGGGTAGATAGGGACAGTAGTATCTTAAATCAAGCCAGTACAGTGAAAGATATCGGTTAAATAGCTAAAGTGATCACTCTGCTATCTATATGCATCCATATTTATCCAGAATAAATAGGATATACAAAATTATAATTCAAGCATTCTATCAGAAAGTCCTTAACTTATCCATCTTCCTAAATTACTTCCATGAAAGCATCTGTTGGGAGGGTTTTTTATGTTGCAAATATTGCTTTTGCACAGTTTTCATTAACTAAAGATAGTTGCATATGATGTCATGGAGACTGTACACCATTCATTTTGTGTTGCTTCTACACAGCTAAAGAAGTATTAAGACAGATTAAAATGGGTTTCCCAGTCTTCCACTGGACATCCACATTGCTATTTGCAAAGCAGAAAATATACAATCATTCAGTAAACTATTTTCCATTATGGTAACAATGAATGACACATAAAACAATCTAAAACTAAGCTCAGCTATAATAATTCAAGAACATACCAGCTCCAGGAGTTACAGAGAAATCCAGATAATCTGGAGCAGGAAACATGTGTTCACACTAGAGGTATAAAAATAGAACACAAAGAGTTGTGGTGAGGAGAAGGAAGCCACTTCATTTGTGGGACATCAATAGCAGCCGATCTGCTCTTGGGTTCAGTCACTGTCGTAAGTCTCCTTTCCACCTACACAAGTAGGAAGATTAAGAAAAACACCATCCTACATTGTGGCAATGAGAGGCTACTTGCTTAGGGAACCACCCCTTGGCAAGATCTTTTTGCCTTTTTTTTTTCCTCCCCTCCTCTCAACAATTTTTAAGCCTGAAATCTGAGTCCTGAAGAAATTGTTCTTTTCTCTTTGATTTTGCATTAATTTTGATAGGGAATGGACTAATCCGAGAGTAGGACCTTTATTAGGAAACTGAAGATCAGGTTTCTTCACTGAAGATGTTAGACACTACAGGGTTTTTTGGCATTTGTGCAGGCTGAAGGCATTGTTTTAATTTTTTTTTTCACACAATCCAATTAATTGGTAATAAATTAATCTTCCATAAGTCTGTTTTACCCATAATGGTAACTGGTAAGTGGTGTCCCTGTCTTAATCTTGACTCACAGGATTCTCCATCTTATTTTCATCCCCTGTTGAGGAGGAGGAGTGAGACAGTAGCCAAATGGGCATCTGACAGCCAACCAAAGTCAACCCTCCACAGGATGCAAGAGATAAAAACAGCCTTCAGGGAATGGAATCCCTGGCCCTCCTGTGTGGGTTGTCTCATCCTCTTGTGCAGTGTAAGGGTAAAATTGTCACTACACTTGACCCCACAATCATCATCATGTACTGAGACTACTGCTGGGCCGTTTTCAATTTTTTTTCCAGCGCTGACCAACACTCAGGCTTCTTTTATCTATGATTATCTTAGGAGTTAACTTTTCATGGTCACTCCTTCTTTTCAGCATCAACTTTCTCCTGCTTGACCTCAATTTATACTAAATAATGACAGAATCCTCTAATGCTTGGGCACCGCCTAGTAATTCAGCTGATTTAGATTTGCATATTATTTAATCATTAGTCACACAGAAGGAAAGGAGGAGCCAATTACTTCATTGAGTTTTCCCTTGCAGATGGAATGACTTACCTTCTTCCTTTACTGCCTACATAAAAATACTACTCTTGGACTATTTCTATTATAACTCAGGGATTCTAGATGATTTGTGAAATAAGTAATTTTACAGGCAGAGAAACCAACAGATCTGGACACAGAGCAAACCTGCATCAGAAGAGGATGTTCAGATTCTAGCTTCATCTCAACTAGCCCTTCCAACAAATGATTACTCCTGAATTTTGCAATGAAATACCTTAACTTATGGCTTCAGTATTTTTGTGTTTAGATTTGGGGTTTCTCTGGTTTTTATCTTGATTCTTCAAAGTTAAATTTATTTTTTCAAGTTATGTCATAGTTTTTTGATATTTTCTGATATTTTCTTAATAAAATTTCATTTATTTATATATTTGAAAAAAAAAGCTTTTACTTTTCTAACTGATGCTTTTACCCATAATCTCCTCCATCTTTTTTTTTTTTTCAGTTGGTATAGAAATAAGATAGCACTCAGAGAGGTCAATACTTCTGATAAATTCAGTGAGTTCTGGTAAAAGTTCTGAAGGCTCACGCTTTCCAGACAGAGTTCATATTCTGTCTGGAACAGCTCCCAAACCAGGCATGTTTTAACAAGTACACCTATGATTAAGCTGAATTGTGGAATCAGAAGTACACAGAGCTGGAAAGCTTTTTAACTTCATTCAGAAAGGGAAACAAAGAAAGACAGGGGCCAAATCATCCTAGAATTTCCTGAGGCCCAATCCTATTTTAAAAGAAGGGATCCATCACTGCTAAAATAAATTATCAGTGTTCTGTCTTCAGCCACAGGGCAGCGTGATATACTGCTACAGTGGTTTGAGCGGTCATGGGGACTCCAGCAGCACACATGGCCTTCTGAGGTGGTGTATTGGTGTCTGTGTCCAGGTTTTGGCAGCAGGGGTGGCCTCTGTGAGAAGAGGCCAGAGGTGTGAGAAGAAGTGTCTGACAGCAAGCCAAGGTCAAGCCCCCTATCCTCCATGTGGACAGAGAGCAGTTGATCCTCTTCTAAGATGGACTGGCCTTGTGTCCAAAGTCCTGTCCACATGGCCCCAAGGACAGCTAGAGCTGTAGACAGTTCCTTTCTTTTTCACAATTTTTCCCAGCACAGATGTCACAAGGATAACCCTACCACATCAAGGGCTACAAAATGTGGTTTAATCTTTCTGTAACAAGGATATCCCAACTCACTACAGAAATAGGCTATATGCCTCCACAGACTCTACTTGCCAAAGCATTCATGGGATCATTTTTGTCAGTGAAGATAGAAAGAAAAAGCTTTTTTTTCATTAAAAATGCCTTCCCCTTCACCATGGCATGTGTAATATCAAACACAGCAAACAGCTCTTCTGGAAGACGCTTATGTTTTCCCCATGGTAGAGGGTATATGAAACTGTTTTCTTCTCCTCTTCTCCAGCGTCCATCCCAGGCAAGCAAGAGAGTATATAAGTATTTCCAGTGCCATACTACAGTCAGGACACTGTGCACTCTCCTAGCATCCACTAGGCTCAAGAGAAAGCTGAACAAATTCATGGGCTATAACTTTAGCCAGAGTTATTATATACAAAGGCAGCTTCTGGCTAAGGAAGTACCTGAGCTTAAATGGTGGAGAATGGGAGAAAATCTGCAGGAAGTACTACTAGGTGCTCACCATACTCATACCCCGGCTGGAGATAGTATCCTGAGCTGGATGGCCTTGTAAAGCTTTTCTTCAGTTTTTATATATCACCATTGTTGAACAAAATCTAATTTTGTTCTGAATTTTTTCGAAGCTAGATAAAAATCATAAGAAAGCTGTCTTCCACAAACCATGTCCTTTGTTATAGCCTTTCTCTCTTCTAGTGATCAGTTGCATGACTATTATGTCAATTTTCAGTTGTCTTATTCATGCAACTTGCTTTGAAAGGAGAATTAATAAAACAAGTCCAGTGGTCTCCCGGCAACTAATTTTTGCAAAGAAAACATGCCTTTCTAACACAGAGATTTTGTGCAGATCAAATGCATTATTGAGTTTCTGAAAAACATTTGAGAAAAATATTACAACAGAGGAGACACCTCTGGTAGTTACATGATAGCTTTCCTTTTGTTTTCCAGGTCAGGACTGAACAATTCAGGAGGAATAGCCTCAGACAGCATTTAATTTACCTTTTGGACTGCATAATAAAAATGTGACATCCAGAAACAATGGATAGAAACTGTGGTCTATCTAATTAAATAGTTGATTCTAAATGTCTTTCCGGTGTATCATTCTACTATGACATGGATCAAGATCAGAAAAGTTAGAATTTTTCTCATGTGACAAATGTAATTTTGTCAAAATTATATTTTTGGGGTTTTTATCTACTAATTGAACATACACAGTCACAACAAAATGTTCCAGAAGAAAGAATAAAGATGTTGTTATTACCATTTCTTACAATTTTGCCATTGCTCTTTTACTATTTCCTAGTTCTTTATAGCATTTAGTAATTCACTCCACAGTCAGATTGTCCAGTGAGAAGATCCAGTATCTTTATTAATTGCAGAATAATACAGCACACTGTGAAGGTTTTCGGGTTTCTGGAATCACTGAGATGACCATAACATTTTTAGGCTTAAACAGTACATTAGCACAGTGCTTCTAGTGACTTTATATAACATTATTTTTCTTTCTTTGTATGACCTTCATAACTACTCCAAAGATACCTGGGAAAGGCGAGATGCTACGAAAATGACCTTATCTCTGTTAAGATGCTGTCTGCACTGAATCATAATAGGTTCTGAACTTGAAAAGTTGCATTCATTGCCATGACATCAAGTTTAATTTTGTGATCAGTTTGGACAAGATGGATCTTGCTCCATCAGCTGTCCATGGTTAAAACAAATAGGAGTCAGTGTTACTCAACGTAACTCTCACAGGCATAAGACAACATTAGAGGGAAGCTAGGCCTTCATCTGCCCATTCTCCTTTGTGATACCACATCTGAACAAAGTGATGTATTTTGAAAAGGTTCTCAAGACCATTTAGTTAGTGACTTACTAGCTTTATTAGTTCTATCCATTCGTGGATGGTTTACTCAAGAGAAAAAATTACAAGACACAGTTCAGCCTTTTTAAGATGTAGCATCATCATGACATACTGAAGAGACTGTAGAGACACCAGTATTTTCAATATATAGTTTCCCATCAAATAAGTTATTTATCCTTCACAATTATCTCTGTCATGATATCCTTTCTTTGCCAATAATAGTTAATTTGAAGGCAATTTTTAATGGTCTTTCTAATAGCCAGAGAGAGTAATAACCTCTACAACCTCACTTCAGAACCTTAACACAGACAGGTGTTAACAAATGATGGTAATAAAAAGTAGATTTATTATTGTTTCCAAGCATAGGGATCATTTTTATATGTAGTTTAATTATCTCTTTCTGCTATGATATCTTTTTAGGTTACACATATTATGAAGTAGAAAGGTTATAAAAATCATAAATATCAGACTAGGAAAAGCCACAGCACCATTGAGTGAGTCCATGGTTATTCTGTCTGAGGAACTGACAGAGCCGGACCTTTGGGATCATCGAATCTGCTGTTTGTTGTGAGCTGCATGATCATATGGATTCCGTAAGTCAAGATCCACAGTAAAATTACAGATGTTATCAGGCCCATCCAGATTCCAGGAGTGAAGAAACCTGTACAGTCACTTGCATAGGAAAACTGGTTGTTTTCAATGTTGAAGCCTTGAATCTGAAAATGAAAGAAGCTAGATTAATGAGTGCAATTAAGCTTGGAGCGTAGTCCCTACTTTCAGGAAATATGTGGTAATTACAAAAAACCACACCTTTTAATTACCAGTCATACCCTGCCCATTAAAAAGAGTGCAAACAAATCCTCTGCGTAACAATTTTCCAGGTCTCCTTTTCACCCAGGAAATTAAAGATGCAGAATCCATCTCTTTGGCAAGAAACAGGTTTTCTGCTTCAGAAACTTGTATTACTTTTAGAAGTAAAGTCCCAAAGGGGAAATGTGATTAGTATTCTGCATTCATTGTAGTCAGGTCAGTGTATCAGTATTTGTTGATCATCAGCTCAATGACCACTTCAGAACCAGGAAACTCAAAGCACTCAAACTCATGAGAGTTAAGGCCTCCTCAGATCATGAGATTTGTTGAAATACCCTGAGAGATTTAATTAATAGCTCCTTCACAAACAAAACTCCTGGAACCTACTTTAAAACACACCTAATGAAGATGACCTTTTATGGCTGAGTTTTAGTGAAAGTTCAAGGAGAAAACAGTTGTTAAACCTTTCTTCCTCCCTTCTTTGACATCAAAGACTCAAAATGGGAGGGAGGACTTGCTTTATTGAGGTATGGGATATGTGTTGTCTACTAATATGAAACCTATATAAGCTTTTCCAGCAGTTAGAAAAATCTGTAAACTCTCTGCTTTGACTGAATTCTCAGTGTCTGCCACTGACTGAGCTCCTACCATACTATTTTCTTCAGAAAAACCAACTGATTTAGAGATATATAGCCCCCAATTGTACAAAAAGTGAATGCCTTTGATATCACTAACTTTAGACATTTTTTTCAAACTAAAGGATTAGAAAACTATGAAGAAAGTCAAGACAATGCCCGCTCTACATGCATGTACATAATGACATAAGCACTGATTCCTTCAGAGGGAAGGGAATCTAACTGGTTGAAGAAGAGGAAGGAAAGAATTAATCTGATCTGGTTTTGAGTCTTTCCTAAATAATTTCATAAAGAAAACTGAAGACTGGGATTCTTATGCATTTACAGAATCTTTGAAATGAGTGTGTAAGGAAAGCACCACACATCATAAACCCACTGTTAAAAAGTAAAAAAAACAAACTAAAAAAACCCCTTAAAAATTACTATTTCCTATAAAATATTATAGAATAAAATTAACAAGGGTTATCTTATTTAAATCTCTTCTCTCAGACAGTATGTAAGAAAGCAGAAGATCATGGATTTCTACTTTTATGTAGAAATGTATGTTCCCACTCCATGATTATTCTATAATTCACAACAAACTGAATAGAAAGCTTTAGTTTATTTGTGATAATATAAGAGTTTCTACTTCTTAGGAAAGCTGTTGATACAAACATTGAACAAATCAACTTGTGGCTTGCATACCATGCTACACCAGTGAGCACTCTGGGTTTGAGTTCACTCATAGCTCAGGTGCCTGAAGTTATTGTGTACATAAATATGTCTGTTACGACCAATGTCTGTACCTTCCAGAGTGCTCATTAATAAAACCATTATTAAACACAGAACTAAGGGCTCTTTAGGTAATATGGAGGTTAAGGAAATTTTAGCAATTCAACCTTTTCTAGGTATTTTAGAAGCATCTTCCCAAGTCAGATCACAAAGACTGTGCTTTCACCAAAGGTAGTCAGTCTTCTGATTAAAGCAGGATTAGCGAAAATAAGCTTTTGGGCTGGATAACTGCTTGCATTGTTTTAGGGAATGCAGGTGATTGCAAAAGCCTTTGCTTGTTAAGCCACTGCTTCGAACACAAATGAGAATGTGAATAGGAGTCATGAAATGTAACCTGAAAGACTTATTTACAATAAAAACAGAAAGCCGCTGATGATTTATGTCATTTGTGTTCAAAAAATGGATTGAAATTCTGGAAAACAATATGCACTTCTTATCACATTGACAAGGAATCTCTGAATCTCTTACCAGATATACTTGGTTAAGAAAGGCTTTGCCACTTCAGATTTAGTCAGAAACACTTAATTTTTTTATTTCAATCCTATTGGTCTTTTTTTTTTAGTCTGGATTGTGCTTATTGAACCTTTGAGGTGAAAGATTAAATTGTACATTCTTAAAAAGCTATGTCTACTTTTAGACAGGAGATTAAGAAAATGCAGGGTTATTTTATTGTTTTTCTGAAGCTTCGTCATTTCTGTGGGGGTGCTAGATCACAGGTGGGAACTAAAAATGTGACTCCAAGCAGCATTTCTACCTATAGAAAAGTTAAAAATACTTACATGTGGTTCTGTAAATTTTATGAATGTAAAAGTCTTTTGGATACAGGCCCCTGTACTGCAGAAGTTTCAAATTTAGTGTTTGGTCTAGCATCATTTCCCTTGGTTATACAAGTCTTTATTTACTGTTAGTTTTAAAAATATTTTTGAATGGAGTTTTCTCATCATTTGACCCTTGAAAAAGCTTTCAAGTAAAATATGTTGTTTTCATGGCTCTTAAGTGTACACTGAACATCTAATTTTTGAACTTAGAAATATTTTAGCCACAAAGAATCTGAACCAAACCCAGAGAAGTTTTGGTGCTGTGAACAGTTATGAGTGGTGACATCCTAAGCTATGAGAATGCCTAGACAGCATCCCACAGAGGTTCTTTAGATAGAAGTGAATGACCTAGCTCCAAAACTTAAATGAAAGGTTGCATCAGTTCAGCCTTGCCTTGGAACAAGCTATGCAAGGCTTCCCTGTGCAGCTGCCATGCCCCTCTATGATACTGTTTTCAGGACCCAGCACTGCAAAGTGCTGGGTACCGATTTGATTGGCATTGGATCCTAGTTTCTAACTCATTGCATAACATTGACATGAAAATCATGTTCCTCAGTTTCAGCAACAAGATTTTGTGCTGGTTGCAACCACTGAGCACATCCCACATGCTTTTTTCACCATGCAACAGAGTTTGGGGGTTTCTAAACCTCATTCCAGAACAAACTCTGATATTAAGATCACATTTCACTATGTATCAGTGGAAAATATCTGGAAAAGTATAATCTAGTTCAGACAGAACTTGAAAATGTGCCCGGAATGGTGACTTTCTGTTTTCTCACACAACAATAAAAATTAGAACAAGATTTTTCAGATTTTCTTCCATGCTTAGGGTTCAGTCAGAGAAAAAGGACTTTCTCAAGAGGAACTGTGAGTTCTGTTGTCTGAACAGTGGAAGCAGCTACTCCTTCAAATCAATAAGGAAGGTGGGAAACCTACTACTTCTGGTATTGATTAAGACCACAATGAAAGGATGCTTACTAGGGATGGAGTAAAGCCTCTTTAAGATTTAAGAAGGCATTAGTTTCAAAGCATATAGAAATTCAAGGAAAAGATAAGTGTAAGAGAATACTTTGTATTTTCATTGTTCATGTACTTTTATATCCCAGTGATGCAAAAGTCTAACTCCAAAGAGTTGACTAGGCAAAGTAGAGTTGCATGAACTTTGGTATTATCAGGCCTTTCCATAAAAAAATAACATCAGAAGGAACCTTCATAACAATGGTATATATTGGCACATTTTTTCTCAAAAAATTGTGAGACTCGATACTGGAATTTGTGGAAATCTCAGCAGCAATGATGTTCCTTTGAGATTTCCATTATTTAAGCAGAAATGTCAAGTCTGGAGCCAGATTATTGAGGTTTGGTTTGTTATCAAAATCATAAATACAATTATATCAATATTTGTATCTAGTTATCACAGGGTTAGCTCATGTTTGGCAAATAGACTACAGTTTCAAATTATTCCTATCTCTTTCATCAAAGAGATCCCTTAATGCAATATTGTTTTAAGATATAAAAGTTGACATGCTTCTCCTAATTCAAGAACACAGCTCAAAATAATACAGATGTAATCATCTACATCTCATGTATGTAGTCTATACTACTGTACTAAATGCACAGAAAAACTATGTCTCATTCAAAAAAAGCCAGTTGCTTTCCTTCTCGGCCATGCAGGGCCTATTGTTGCTCTTAATTGAAGTCCATGGCAAACCTTCCATTAAATCTAATTACACTGGCCTTTGTTTCTATCTGTAGGAGTACAGACAGTCTATGTCACTGGAAACAGCAACCACACTAAGCTGTATTTTCCTAGGTAAACAAAGTGCCAAGAAATCAAATATAAACAAAGTAAGCAGCATAAAGCCACCCACCTAAGAGGCCTCTGTTTCCAAGAGCAGCCCAATTCATTAAATCAGTCATTCTTTGCCTGATTAAGTACATTTGGTTTAGTTGGTTTTTCTTTTCTGTGGACAACTTCATAGTTTTGTTTTTCAAAGCTGTGCTTTCATGTTCTCCTTGTTCAGCAGCTGGTGTCTTTTTTACCCTTACTGAAAAGCTCACACAAGGGAACAGCTTTTTTTTTATATTTTCCCTCAGGCTGAAATGAAAGTAAGTGCATTATGAATGTGTGTCATTCAGCATCTACAATAGCAAGAAATAGTTCTTGCAGTTATCTCTGAAAGGGCAATGCATACTCACCTGCAACCTGGAAATGAAAACATCCCAATTTTTTGCCTCATTGTTGGCTGGAATCAGCCTTGCAGGATAGAGATTGCTTGTTCCCACCAGCTGACAATGAAATGAATACTCTGCAGGAGCAGAGATGACAGAAACATTAAATTTAGCAAACTTTTCTCCATCTTGTATGATCTCCACTGAATCTAAAGTGGACCATTGTCTAGCTGAACCTTCATAGAACTTGTTGGTCATTAAAAACCTAGAAAGACAAAGAAAAAAAGGCAAAAGGTTAGAAGTAAAAAGTTAATATCCATTTGATAAAGTACTAGTGGCAGATGAGGTTCACTATTGCTGGCTGCAAACATCACAGCTGCTGATGACATGGCCAATCACGTCATTGGGATTGATTCTGTGAATGTATTTACTACATTTTAGAGTTTCATCTCACAAGCACAGCTTTCCACAGGTGTGGCAAGCAAGGAGCAAATGCAATTTCATTTTTTAAGGGCCTCTGCCAGTGCTGTATTTCATAAGTTACCAACAGTTTATAATCAGTGGAGGAGAAGCTGAGAGACTGTCAGAAAGCCTGCAGTGACTCTGAATAAACATTTTATGGTATTTTTTTGAAAATTGCTTTTATGATAGGTACAGGCATGATAGCCATTCTAATTTATCATTGCAATTCTTTCTTGGCTCAAATGGCTAAATGGCATTTTCCTTTGCAAAGGTCTGAGTTTGACATAGAAGACAGCATTTTCTCTCACTGGAGGGTGGGGAGGGTTTTGTCAGCTCTAGTTTCACAATTTGTAGTAGGTTAGACACAAATAAGTATTCCTCATTTTGAAAACATCTGTGTATGTGTGGTATTGCAGCAGTGTCCAGTAGTTTACAATTATGGAATTTATATGTATGTTACTACCAATACTGTCTGATCACCTCTCAAATGTTCTGAAACAGAAATAATTGAGAACATCCAGAAGCACATCCTGATCTTTTACAGATCAGGACTATGTCCCAGTCTTCACCACTTTTTATCCAGTTCTAGGCATTCAAGCTATCTCATAAGGAAATGATAAACCTTTCTTCTTATTGTATGTTGCTTAATACTTTAGCCCTACTTGGTCTACACATGTATTCCCCTATACAGTTTGCCAATGATTTGTTTTGACTACTGGTAAGCACAAAGGATTTAGAAAAGGAATCTTTTAGCAATAAATGATACCTGTTACTAAATGAAATATTCTAATATGCCTATCCCCCATGGGTAACACTGTATATTGACTTTTAAATTTCAGGTAATACCTTAGTTGCAAGAATGATAGGTTCAAAAAAACAAGCATTCATCTATAAATGGGGCACAATGTAGGCTGTTTTATATTGTATAGGGTGTCTGCATATACAGGGTATATGTATATATAGAGAGAATATTCTCCATTGTAGAATGTTGCTTGTTTGTTCAAATTAGTTACTTTCAGTATCATATCTTCCACAAAAGACAGAGTCTAAACACAATTCTTGTCAGGTTGGGTTACTACAGTAATTGAACCCTTTCTGTCTTTTTTTTTCCTTTTATTAATAATCTGTGGCTTTTGATTCATGTAACTTCAAAAACCTCAAGAGTTTCAAAATGCTCAGAAGGAATCCTAGAACTCAAAGTGTCATTAAACTGAGAAAAGGATGTTTTTTCTTATGGCATTCCTTAAGTTTTAAGTCTAAACAGGTCTATCCAGACAACATTCAGCTGCAAGCATCAGTGAAAAAGAAAAAAAAAATCATCTAGTACACATTCACAAATATTTATGGACAAAATTCTATTGTTATAGAGTTACAAAATTAAAACATGTATTAGACCTGATATTAATTGCTAGAAGAAATGAATCTTTTTCTGATATACAGTACAATCTGAACAGAATTTCCATGGTGTCCCAGTAGCAATGCTACAGGCACTAGTGGAAAGCCAGTTATAAACACAGTTATAACCTTAAATGTTTATGCCAACCACAGATGCTGGATATGGTCTGTGCTTTTGCTGAGAGGATGAGAAAAGTGGTAAACAAGGCAATTGCTTGTAAACTTACCATATGAACAAACAAGTTTTATAAGGCCATGCATTCTCCAAGAGAATGCTGTCTTCACATTACATCAAAGACTAAAATGTTATGTTAACTTGCAGAACAGGCTTTTATCCTCAGCATTTTTCCAAACAACTGATAGTGAATAGCCTCCAATAAGCATGCACTAAACTGATAACTGATGTAACTATGACTCATTAAACTAAAAAAAAAAAGACAAACAACAAAAATCTATAGATTTGCTTCATTTAGTTTAATATTTTCTCAGATGAGCAGATAACAAATAGAAAGAGCACATTACAGCAAATGAATGACAAGGAAGGGAGAGAGAACAAAGGCTTTATCTTCAGAACAGAAAATACCTTGGCTTTTATAGGATGTTATGTTTGCATTAAACATTAGAGACAATTATGTATATTAGAGAATGCCGACGCCTAAATGGTTCCCTACAAGAGATATCGTGTACTTTATGTACGGTGGCACAAAATTTCCTGGTCATGGGCCAGGCTCCCTTTGTGCCAGATAACTATATGAACTCTGCCACCACCTGTTACTGATCACATCTCACATGGCTAATCATTACAAGCAGAGATATTTCTGAAAAGGAAGATAGCTAGAATTACTACTGTTTTAAAGATTCAGAAAGAAACATAACTGTTAGGTAAAAGACTTTAAAATGTGTGGTTTGCATCAATTCTATTCTTTACATGCTATGAACAACAATAACAGTCAAGTATGTATCAATGTAAGTGTGGAAAATACTAATGCTCTGCACTTCCATCCACTTTGACACTTTTTCACAGAGAAAATGACAGACAAGTGATTGAACAGCTGGTTATCAGTTTATGAGAGAGCTGAGACGATGCTTCTTCCAGCAAAAAACCTACAGCTCCCACTCCTGCTGCAGCAATAGTTCACTTTTCTAACACTATCACAACACTCTACAACCACTCCCTAACAGCTCCCCTCTCAGTGGCAAGTGCAGGAGGATGAGTGGGACTGTAGTTCTTGCTAAAGAGAGGGAGAGGGAGGTGACAGCTGTTTGCACAGGATGAAGCAGCTATCGCAGCTGCTAGGAGGAGGTGGGATGTGACCAGCTGCTCAGTACATGGGGGTAGACTGGTGTTGGTAATGGGGGCAGGCTCTGGATTTGGCTCATACTGATGAAGTTAGAGCCTCTTTTATTGAAAAATAAATTGAGCTACTTGAACATGATCCTCTCTGGAGTCACTCTGTCTCTTCACAGGATGCTCTCCTACACCTATAAAAGTGGCCTTTATAAGGTGAAAAAATTCAGTTATGGCTCTAAGCTCTGTTCCTTTCCACCTCTTTGCCCTGATTGTGTCCTGTTTATTAAGGCAGACCATAATCTTACTAAGGTGTAATCTTGAACAACAAAGATAATCAAAGTTTATCAGAAGGGGAAAGCAGAGGTTGTACTGTATCTCTGTAGATTTTAGAAGCCCTTGACAAGAGACATGCTAAACACGGTACACAAGGTGAATAAAGTGTTACTGAATCATGAAAAAAATCAGTGGCTTGCTTTGGTTCTGCTGAGTATATCTTATTATTTGCATTACCATGATACAATAGTGTATCATGGTAGCTAAGAGAGGCCTAAAATGACACCATTGTCTCATAAATCAAGTGAAAATCCAACAGAAAGCAGCACAAATAACCAGGTGAGTTTTTAGTACTATTTTTAATTTATAAAGGCTTCTGAGGTGCTGTGGGTTGAGACCAGACATCAGTCAAGCACCCATATAGCTTTTCCCTTACTCCTCATCCTCAACTGGATGGTGGGGGAGATTAGAAAGAGCAAAACTGAGGAAACTTGTGGGTCAAGATAAGGACAGCTCAAGAAGTTAAGGAAAGAGGGAAAAAAAGCAATAAAGGAACAATCACATGCAGGTCAATGCACAATGAATGTCCAAGCAATGGTTACTCTGGAAGCTACTCCGGAAGCTAGCCCCTACATTTTTTCTCTATTCCATTTTTTATTGCTAAGCACCTGTGTCACCCATAAAAAATTGTATCTAAATCCCCTGAGGGCCTATTAAAAACTTGGATCACACATGACTGCATGGAATAAATCAAAATCTTCTGCAAAACACAGCCAGCCTATGCTACTTGCTGGGCATGACAACACTCAGGACTTTACCTGAGCACTCTTTTCAAGTCCTCACCTATTGTGGAGCCTGAATTTTTTATTCCATCTTCAAGGGATGTTTATGCATTTTGGTACTTAGATATAATATGTTCAAGTAAAAGCAAAGGTCAAGAGAAACTTTGTGAGTATTTCTACCTTTACTAAAACAGTCTCAAAGAATATAAAAAACGTTCCTTTAAATTTCTTCTCTTAAATTTCTTCTCTTCAGATACACCTCAGATTCATGATCACATTAAAGTTTTCGTCCAATAATTAATTAAAACTATAAGTTTTTATAATGACGACTAAACATAAATGTGAATAACCTTCATTAAGTCCATATATGTGCACTAACATCACATCTGATCTTCTTATGCTTCAGAAAACAAAATGTAAGATAAATGTTTCAACTGCCAAAAGATTCTGTGTCTGTTAGTACTATTGACTACTTTAAAGAAGACAACACTTTTAAGATCTAGCACTTAAATAGTTTTGAAGCACAGGGTCATGCTCCATAGGATGCTTTATGATTCATATTATTTTCTTGGAACTGTAATTTTACTACAAACATGATATTATGCTGAGGATGTCACATTCAGGACAAATGTAGAAAACAACCAGATTCGTTCATACAGAAAGAGATTTCAGGAGAGCAGCTAAGACCTGTACTAGGATGAGCAAAGATGCAGAATGAAAATACAGAGCACTGTTTTGGAGGGTCTGGCTCTATGAGAGTGGAATAGAAACAACAACGAATAGCCAGAAAAGCACCAGGGCAGCATCAGAGAAGGTGATATTTTGGGACTTACAGTAAAAGGAAAAATACAACTTGCACAGAGACTTAGTTTTAGAACAGTATTTTTGGAATGAGATCCAAGGAAAATATTTACTTAATTCCCCAGGGTGTTTAGGGAAATACATGTCCCTTTGATAATTTACAGTATTGAAACCAAGGCATGCCTGAAACCATCACCAAGGACAGTTCTCAAGGATCCTATACACAGCTAACTATAACAGTCAAAAAAGTAAAAATACTGTACTAACAGCAATCTTATCTGTACACTTTGTTCTTTCACAAGGCTGCAGATGCTTGAAGGAGAGATATTAAATAACAATGCATGTCTGGTTTTTTGCCACCTGCCATGGTCTCTGATAATGACTATAAGTGTGTCTATAAGTGTCTCTATGCACTCCAAACACAACTTGAAACACATCACTGACTCTCCTCTGACAAGTTCTGGAGATTCTTTTACCTAAATGTAGAATGTCCTTCTGTCTCAGTGTAAATAATGGTATTTATTCATTCAAGCTTATAATTTTAATGTCATGTGCCTCTTTGGCTCTTTTACCAATATGTTGTTCAAGCTTTTGTTGTCTCCCTCATTATTACTTTATTTTCCTCTCTTTGGTTTCCTTGGATTTCAATTCCCCTTATTCAAGATGTGAAAAGCGTTTTAGATGGCAAAAGTCATGTGTCTTGCTGCCCAAGCAAACATCCAGTTCATAATCTGATATACAGAAATTTAATTCAGTGCAAGTTCCCTGGCCAAATCCTTCCCAAATAATTTTAAGCAACTAACTGAGGTACCAAAATGAAAAGAGCAGGCCACATTATCTTTGCCAGAGCTTAAGAAAATAATCCTTTACTGCTGTTCCTGCTGCTGAGGAAAGAATTTCTTTACCAGTAGCTGAATGACAGCATGCAAACACTAGCAGATGCTTTCCTCATCCATAGAATCCACTAGTGAGAACAACATCTGTGAATTCTCAGAGTGGCAGTGAATGAAGTTAAATCCAGCTGGCAGGCAGTCACAGCTAGTTTTCCTCAGGGCTCAGTGTTGGGGCAAGTTCTGCTTAATATCTTTATCAGTTATTTGGACAAGGGGATTGAGGGCACCCTTAGTAAATTTGCAGATGACACCAAGTTGGGTGGGAGTGTTGATCTGCTGGAGGGTAGGAAGGCTCTGCAGAGGGATCTGGACAGGCCGGATCCATTGGATCCACTGGATAAGACCAGTATGAGGTTCAGTAAGGCCAAGTGCCACGTCCAGCACTTGGGTCACAACAACCCCATGCAGAGCTACAGGCTGGAAACAGAGTGGCTGGAAAGCTGCCCAGTGGAAAAGGACCTGGGGGTGCTGGTTGACAGTCAGCTGAACATGAGTCAGCAGCATGTCCAGGTGACGAAGCAGGCCAAAGGCATCCTGGCTTGTATCAGAAATAGTGTGGCCAGCAGGACCAGGGCAGTGATTGTCCTCCTGTACTCAGCACTGATGAGTTCACATCTCAAATCCACTGTTCAGTTTTGGGCCCCTCACTACAAGAAAGACATTGAGGTGCTGGAGTGAGTCCAGAGAAGGGCAACGAAGCTGGTGAAGGGGCTGGAGCACAAGTCTTTTAAGGAGGGGCTGAGGGAGCCGAGTTGTTTAGCCTGGAGAAAAGGAGGCTGAAGGGAGACCTTATCGCTCTCTACAGTTACCTGACAGGAGGTTGTAGTGAGGTGGGAGTCAGTTTCTTTTCCCAAGTAAGTCACAGGACAAGAGGAAATGGCCTCAAATTGCACCAGGGAGGTTTAGGTTGGATATTAGGAAAAATTTCTTCAGCGAAAGGGTTGTCAAGCCTTGGAACAGGTTACCCAGGGAAGTGGCTGAGTCAACATCCCTGGAGGTGTTTAAAATCCATGTAGACGTGGCACTTAGGGACGTGGTTTAGTCGTGGACTTGGCAGCATTGGGTTAAACATTGGACTCAATGATCCTAAAGGTATTTTTCAGCCTAAATGATTCTATGATTCTCCTTTTGATTTTTCTTCACAAGTCTTCCCATTCCCTTGCTTTTCTTCCCTCTTCTCATGGTAGGAGAAACATTGTCTTGTGACCACCCATGGAGCAGAAAAATTAAGATTTTTTGCACCTTCATTAACCACAAGCTAGCACTAATAGAGTGCACTGGCAATCCACATTAGGAGTAAATACAGCCCTGCCCATGCAAGTAGACTTCACTCTCTAGAATATTTTACAAATCACAGTTAGATTTGTCTGAGACAGGATCATGGACTGATCCTATTAGTAAAACAGGATGCTGCATATACCAGTAACATACAGTATGGATTTTTGCCTACAATATTTTTTCAGAACTTTATCTGAGCATATTAATATATTTTCTATATAAAGATTGCATTATTGTTCTCCTGCACCCTAACTCCTCAGAAGAGAAAACAATAAATTCAAAAACATTTTCATTTAACTTCTCCTCTTTTTTTTCCTCCTAATTTACAAACAGGTGTTGTAAAGATCTATTTAAAAATAAATCATAAGTTACCTTATCTCTAGACTGCTGATTCCATTCACTGGCTTTGTGTATTTTAATGACAGTCTAAGAAAAAGAAACAGATTTTTAATGTTAGAGTAGTCAGCTTTAATTAGATCATTGTGACATTTCAATTGGAGGGAATATTCTAAATCAGTAAGCAATTACAAAAGTCATATAGCAAAGGTTCAGTACACAGAAAAATATGACTAAATATTTCTAGGGTTTCGTTTACCCAAAGTTTCAAAGGAAAGGAAAACTGAGATTATGTTTCATTAATGTACTTCCAGCTGAATTACTAACTAGTAATTGGCAATACTCCCCTTCAAGGGAATGAAATTATGATTTCATTAATGCAAGTACATTTCTGTGATTGTGAGATCAGGCACAGGGAAACCTGTTTGGACCAAATATAAACAATCAAGGAAGTAAGGAGCATAAGAGGGAAAAAATGTGAAAATAATAGGCTGCATCTGAGCAATTTTTGTGGTCTTGATTTAATTTTTTTCTTTTAAGGATATCCAGGGTTTTTTTTAATTTTGAATGCTTTAGAAGAAGAAAATTAAACTAGCACTAATTTGACATTGCATTATTTCTGATTAGTTTTCAGAATCACATGTATTATGAAATTTCTTGTGCTACTCACGTTGTGTTGCTGTCTGAGCACTCAGAGGCAGAAATATCCACATCCTGTGTTACAAATGTTGCATTTGTCAAATCTACAAAAACTGAACTGTTGGCTTTGAGGCTGAAATTACTTGCATAAAAAAGGATGCATGTATAATTTCCAGCGGTCATATTCAGAGGAGGATATGATAAATCATCTTCTTCCTCAGTGGCCATTAATTGACGTCTCAATTCTGCCACCACATTGGTCCTTCTAGAAATCTGGAATAACAGCACATTAAAAATTCATCTCCTTTGTAATAGTTAATATCAACTGAACACTGATCTTCACCATTCTGTACCATGAGCACCCATTCTTCTTAAATCCTCAATCACCCTCAGTGTTTGTTATTGTCTGTCTATTTAACTGGCGGTGTGGAGGCTAATGAGGCAGTGTTAACCTTGGTTCCCATGGCCAGGAGTCCACATGTGAAAACAACCACCACTGATACTAGGCAAACCATGTTGGTAGTGTTGCCTTAAGATAGCAGTATGCATTAGTGCTAACAGGTAAAAGAATTAATTTTCCCCCAGAAGGATATACTAAAAGAAATTAATGTTTTTTTCTGCACTAAAATCACGAGAAAATTTCAGCTTACCAGTTCAGAGACCATCACCCCTTAATAACAGTAATAGTTTTTGCACTCCTCATTTTAACAGGCATGAAAGCAGACTACTTAACTACAGCATGATTTTTTTAGACTCTTCTGATGGCTTCTGGAAAAAGAAGACCTATGCTTATTTGGCTGATGTGGTGAACTTCTACAAGAGACACATTTGCTTTTAGGAGATTTCAAGGAATTCCCTTTAGTAGGCAATGTTTTAAAAAACATGCCCAGAGCATCCTTGGTAAAACAGCCCCACTGATATCAACAGTTAAAACTAGCTGACCTTATTAGACAATAACTTTATCCTGTTCATGTCATACTCCTCACTTTTTACTCTGTTCATATCTGGGATATTCCACATATTTTTAAGTCCCATGTCAGCTTTACAACTTTGTATGCTACAAGTGGTCTCTACCCTTGTATAACTTTGGGGTACAAGAAATGAAAGGCATCCCAGGAATTACTAGAACTATAATTACATAGAGCTATTGTCTGGAACTACTTTTAATGGGTTTAGAGACAGTCAAGGACCATTTTCCGAGTCTGAAACAGAGGGTATAATATCACTTTATAACCTGCCTGTGGAGAGGAGCCCCAAAAGATTTTGTCACCTTAACCGCTGCTCTGTAAATGTTATTTGCCATCTGTTATTTATAACATGTCTTTGCAGATACCTCATTCTATGAATAAAACAGAATGGGCTACATTAAAACCCTTTGACTAAATGCCCCAGTGAAGACTGCAATCTTCCTCTCCCTTACATGCGTACTTTATGAATTTCTTTTTAATTTAGAGTAGTCTCTTTTCAAATACATCAGAACATGCATTATTTTAAATTAATACCATTTTCTTTAAAAAAAGAGGGTACAACAAAAGAAAATATTCAACTTTTGATATAAAACTTTTAATCTTTCCTTAGGCTTTCCTGAAATGTAACCATTTTATTTCAAACTGAGGGGAGAAGCTGAAGTCTAAATTATATCCTGTCTAACTATTGACTTCACTATGTGGGCTCCGTCTATCGCCTAAAGAGGGCTTAAAAAAACACCTACTAGTAGCTGAAAACAATGCTACATTGGATACTGTCATTGGGAGAACTTGAGAGATTAGGTTTAAGTACCTTAAAATAAAAAGAAAGCTATTAAAATACAGTCATAAGACTATGGCTTTATTTCTGTTGCTCTCCTACCAGTATTTTGTCATGAGGTTCTCACATAGATATTCCCTTCCAGCTCTGAAAAAGCATATGAACCAAAAGAGTGTTTGTCCAGGAAGAAGGCGTTTCAGGGACAAAGAAATCCACTAGCTTTCCATTATTAAATCTGTTTTAAGGAATTTGCCCATGCTGAAGAAGGAAGGCAACACAGCTTCCCAAAAACACTCCTAAAAAGGCTTTTGTTTCCTTCATATTTGTGAATGACAATATAGGCATCCGTGGACTGTGCAGCCCAGAGAGTCTTTACTTGCATAGCTATAGGCAGGTAGGATCACTACACTAAACAGGAGCCTGAAATTATCAGCTCTCTGAAGAAATGTCCCCCAAACACTCACCGGCCTGTATATTCACCCCTTTAGCCTGGAGATGCATTTCTCTAACTTACCTGTGGGTGAGGTAATTCTTACACTGAGTTATTGTACATCAAATTAGATTATTTAGGAACAATCCATAGTGGAAGTGTTGCTGATCATTAAACCATACTTAATTCTGTTGTTTAGTGTGCCCTACACCTTTACCTAATCTGAGCCATAGGATGTGTGAGTCACCGTCTTGTTCTCTGGATTTATCAACGGCATTTTTGATCTCAGATGTGCAATGAACAACCACAAGAACTGATTAAATAAGATACAGAAAAGAAAGGTTGTCATTTACATTTTCCTAAACCAGAACTTAGCTGAACCTGCAGTAGAGGTAGCCTGAACAAAATTCTTCCTTTTGACATGTTTTGTAATCCTTCTAATTCAGATTATTCTCTCTAGGAAAGGAGAAAGGAAGCTGATCTGGCAACATCCTGATGCACCAACACACTAATCTTTTTCAAAGCAAACAGACCTTACATCCAAAATTATTCACTTGTTTTGTTGCTGTTGCCACAGTTTTATTAGCTGTTCCAACATAGAATGTCTAGAGACAAGAAAAAAAGATTTGGGGCCATTTCATGTAATTGAAATTACAATTGAAAACAAATATAAATCCAGTGGTTGTAAACACATATGAGAAAAATACAAAATGCTGTGAAAATGAAACTTTCATTCACTGAAATGATGAATAGTAACGAACAGCAGAAACAAGCCACATTTCACATGAATTTTAACATAGGACTTAGTGCAGTATAAGAATGAGATATTGCTTAATAACATTAAATTTCACAAATGAAGAAAAGAACCTGGAAATATTTTGAGAATGTATGTATAGGCCAAAGCTCAAAATACATTGTGAAAGAGGGGGCCAAAGAATCCTTTGGGGCCACTTGTGATGGTCTGAATCCTGAGGGGAAAGTTCCAGTAGGAGAGGGCAGGCACTGCAACTGCTACCCAGCACCTCAAATACCTGTCATCTGAATTGGATTTTGGGTTTAGCAGCTGGAACTGCATCTACATATCATGTACCAACTGCAATTCTATTGACAGGATACCAAATTGACTGTATGCCTGCATTTGCTGTTAAAGCAATTTTTCATAAATTGCTTTAACAGGGACCACTAAAATCTTTTTTTGCAAGGTATCCTTTAAAAAATGTCACTAGGAAGCTGCTAAGTGCTCAGTGCAGGGGTACTGCAGAATGGCAGATCATACTGCTTGCTGGGGTATGGCTGTGCCACATCAGAAGCCACTCAGCATTCACATCCCAGCCAAGTATCAGCACATTACAAGTGCTTTTCCTGAAATTACCATTTCAGATTTCTTCCCACGCAAAGCGGACAGTTTTCCTCCATGTTTTCTAGCTGATGTAGCATCATAGCCTCACTATGGATAGTATCACCACGCCCTCTCCTAATACATCCATTTTTCTGAAGGATAGTGTACCACAAATCTGTGGTACAGGCAATGGCTGGTTGTATCTCACTGCTAAAGGTCAACAATTTGAAAGTCAAACATTAGAATTTGGTATAACTGTAAAAATGTTCTTTGCAGTGTCAAGTTTATAAAATCATGCACACAACAAATAGGAAGAATGTATTTGATTGCACTTATTTCATTCATCTGTCAGTGCAAGACTGTAGCATAACAGTGCTTTAAGCTGTCAAAATCTAGAATATTAAGCAAAGAGTTACCAATTATCTCTATTTTTGAAAGTTTGAACTGTTTACATTTTTATGATTTCTAATCTTTTGGGGGTTTTGGTTTTTAATTCTCCTCTAGGCTAACTTGCGGCTGCCGCATTCTTGGAAGTGCTCAAGCCCAGGTTGGACAGGGCTTAGACCAACCTGGTCTAGTGGAAAGCGTCCCTGCTCCTGGCATGGGGGTTGGAACTGGATGATCTTTAGAGTCCCTTTCAGCCTTATTTCACATATTTGTACAACAACTGTAAGCCTAACCAAGATATCAGAATAAATGTCAATAGCAGGACATTTTGTCCAGAAGAATCCTTCATCTCTATTTTCCATCTTTATTAATATTTTGATAAAGCAGGAGAAAAAGAATACACAAAAATGAGGTACATCACATAAATAGCAAACATTTACTAACAATGATTAACATCATTTTAGTGTCTTGTAGGATATATGACCAACCTTAGTATCTCACATTATTATCTGATGTCCTGTCAGACATCACACGCCCTGTCCAAGCACACATACTTCTACCAGAAAGCCAAATGGCTTGGGCACTGTGACACTCAGCTTGTACCTGGTTCTGCATCTCCCTGGGTTTTTCACAAAAGCAAGGCTGGGACATGAATGTTTAAGTCAGAATGTACACCTTACAGTAAGGGATAATGATCTCACTGTAAAATAAAATATTTTCTTATAATTGATAGAACTTCTGTGACTTGTGGAGAGTACCCAAGTCATGACCAAATGCTTCAGGAACTTCTTTTAGAAGGGACAATAAATCTGCAATACTTTTTATGCTGCTCAGTTTAGCCATGGCCTAAATAAACACAATCTACAGTGTCAGCTCACATGCTTAGGGGCCAGATGGGCTTCTTCACATGCCTGTCCTTTAGCAGCACTGGGCTATACAAAAGATCTCTTGACTGTGATATACAGAAAGTGTGACTACCCTGTGACACCAACATTTTGCAGAGACAAGTGAGTTAGCAGTGACCATGAAAGCAACAGAATCCACTGCAGAGGAAGGTGGTGCGATGCAGCACTTGTGAAACCAATCTTCTTAAAAGGCCTCACAAATAAGGCAAGGAATTTTTGCATGTATGGCACAAACACACACATCCATAAATGCCAGAGTAGTCCCAATTTTCTAAAGAATATTATATTTCCTGTTATTTTCTTGCTACAATTTTTATTATGAAATTCTTCATCTAACTTCAGAAAGAGCAGGAATTAGTCTATAAAAATATCCTGAATTTAGAAAGTAAAACAGAATATGTATAACCTGTAGTAGCACCTAATTCTCCACCATAAATTTCACTTCGGACAAATAAACCAAACACAATTATTTCAATGAAAACAATGTCTTGGTCATCTTCAAGAGTGTTAAAATTCATTTACACCTTTTTAGTAAATCTGATTTTGCAATGCAATATACAAAAGAGAAAAAAATGTATTAGGAGCTGCACTGTAAAACAGAATTAATTCTGAAAGGAATCTACCAGTTGTGTGATTCAAGGAATATTTACTGATGACAATCTCCCCAGCTTTAGCATTAGATTTCTGGTGCTGTTTCAGGCAATTCTGCCATAGAGATTAAAGAAGCTACAGATTTTGCATAATTTTAGACTGCCAGGGGAATACCCACTTCCAACTGGTTGTTTTCCCCACTTTCTTATGTCCATATGTGGAATTCAAGTTGCCATGGGAGATGTGAAAAAGGATAGAGGAGTGTCTGCTGCAATAAAAGGAAACAGATACTTAATGAGAGTTGGACAGAGGTTATGTGGGATCTGATGGGTTACCTAATTGAAAAATGCAGATAGGAGCCAAAATGTGTTCCTCACAGTGCTAGGAGAGTTGCCAGCACTGTTTGTCCCAGATGTAGGCTAGTCACAGCAAATTAAAAATCTGAAGACCCCTAAAATTTTCCCTTCCTCTACTTCATATTCTGATCCTGCAGCACTTTGGAGGACTAATCTGCAAAACTGGGGAGCCTGTCTCCCTTTTTTCCTAACTTGAAGAGAGATGTGTGGACAACAAAATAACATTACATATTACCTTCAAATTTTTATTGATAATTCAAGGAATTTACTTTTACATCTTTTACTTTAAAAAAATTACACTTAATTCCTACAATTCCTCGGGTCTGTCTATAATAAATTAGCTGCATATTTTTCAGATTCTCCCTGTAAAAATACTGTGTCCAGTGTGACACCACTTTCTTTGCTTTCTGCAATTCTATCCGTGTGTGACAACTCTTTTGGAGAAAACAGAGAAAGACAGACCTTGCACTGCAGCAACTTGCCAGGGGAGTCTAGCTCTCTCTTCTGAGTTTTACTGAATCAAAAGGTAAAAACCAATAAATCTAGAAAGATGGATTTTCTTCACAGAAAATCTATAAAAAGGTGCTTCTACTCTGCTTTCTTGCACTCAATCTCCACGTAATTTTTCTGACAGTAGTGTATGTCAGATAGAAGGTATCCATATAAGTAAAATCCACACCAGAAAGTCTAGATAAAGATAATCTTAGACATAATATCCATGCTTTTTTGAAGGATATTACCATGCTTTCATTTCTCTTGATAAGCCTTTTCATTTCTTCCAAGTTTGTCTCAAAATAGATGTGTTTCCACCAACCTAGGGGAAAAGTCTAGTTAAAACTTCCAGTTAACGGCTCTCAACCAATGTCAGTAATCTCAGTTTCATAATTCCCTTCATCTCCTACCAGTCTCTAGCCCAACAACCAAACCAAGACCTAAGCATGCAACCTTTGCCAGCAGTTAGGTGGAACTGCCACATCTGTGGCTGCCAGCTACTGATCCTTGTCATGATGCTTTGATATGAGACTTTGGTAAATTGAAATTTATATGGTGAGGCATTTTAGAAAACAAATACCAACTTTCTTCCTGCATTCCTGTGGGATTGGTTTAGCAGCTTGGTGCCCATTGCTGTTCCTACACCATAGCCAAGCTTCTACACCACGTAATGGCAAACCTGGTTGGGAATTTGCCTCAACCATAATCAGTTGCTCCTGATGGAAGTTCAGATCCTGAGAAAAACTGTGGATCAGGACCAAGGAATATTGTTACGGTCATAATTTGATTTCCTACAGAGGGAAGGAAGACAAGAAGTACTGCAGGTAGATATTTAGGGCAAGGCTGCTCTGACCACATTCAGAAGCTACCTAGCTGCACAGCCACACATCTCTCAGCTCCTGGCTTTTCAGCCCTAGGGCTGTCTTTGGAGGATACACATACACTGTGATTCTCTGGGTAGATGTGATCATTTCCCATTTCTAACCCTTTGCTTCCCCAAAGTGCCCAAAATGGCAACATATGTCTGCTTCTGAAAAAGATCATGCCTATGGGCTTTGGTGACTGGAGATGACACCGAAGACACCAGTCTCTCTGCTCACCAGTAGCAACGGATGGTGAAAAGATTCAGAGGTCCCCCAGGCAATTTGCAGATGCTTAATCACAAGGATCTCGAGAATCCAGCCAGTTTCACTTAAAGTAGGGAAGACTGCACCAAGCTTGAGCTGCCACCTACCCAATTTCCAGCTGACAGTCACTTCTTGTTATAGATTTCCTGATTGCCAGCAGAACAATTATTTACGTGCAGCAGGCTTTTTCTTTTTGTACGATGTGGCAATTATTTTCATTTTCAAAGGTGGAAATTCTACAACAACCTAACAGGTGAGCATGAGGAGGAGAGTCTGTGAGATTCTTTTAGTACAGCTTTGCTTAGTCTGTTGGCTGCCTCTTCCGGCTCTTGGCCTTTAGTTAAATAAGTTACATATTACTTTTCACAGTCCTGTCCCAGAGAAATGCTATGTCAATATCCCAAACTTCCACTGCCAAGACATGAGAACTGTTAAACTGCTTGAGAGCAAAAGTCCACCTAGCTCACAACCAGTGTTCTTGATTGTAACTGGCAGCTAAGATAAGGTAAGGGTAAATACAAAGAATACTTGTCCTGGGATGCCCTCTTTGAGTTCTGTAATCATTGGGTTAGAAACCTTCAGAGCTGAAGGTTGCATTCAAATGAACACATGTATTAGGATCTTCTTTCCATCCATCTTTCCTATTTTTCTTCCATTAGTTTATCTAGTCACTGAAAGCTATGTGCTTTTGGCATCCAAAACCAGTTTACTTTATTTCTTTAAAGGAACTTGGTTCCCCTGAATTCCTATGTTATGATCTGTGAGTGATGACAGTCATGAATACTGTCCAGAGACAGTAAGTAATTATTTCGTGTTTAGCCCATCCATGTTATTGGTGGTTTTATTTATTATTTCCCTCTTGAATTGTCACTTTTTCTGCCTAAAATATTTTAATCTTATAGCTTTATTGTAACCTTTGGACACGGGAGCCCAGAACCACATGCACTGTTCCACTGGCAGACTTGGACTTACCAAGGTCTTAGTGAATTAATTGACGCTTGCTACTTTGCCCTCCTCCTTTCCAAATGATGGGTAACGCTCTGCTTGCTATTCATCCAGCTGCTGACTGCTGGGGTGTTCCAAGATATCTACCCACGTTTGCACTGTGATCCCTCTTCTGAGAAATAGCAGCCACTCACTACAGTGTAATATGCATATTTAAGGTTTTCCTTATGTATTACTTCTTTTTCAGACCGGATTGCATCTGTATTTCTATCACCCAGTAATGCAGTGCTGTGAGTGGTTTCTACAACTTGTCAGTACATCAGCAAACTCTGGCACCTTCGTATTTCATCCCCCTTTCCATAGTAATGACTCTCTTGAACAGCACAGGCATCAGCATCAATCCTCATAGAATCCCACCGGCAAGTACTCTCCAGTATGAACATTAATCCTTTATTTTTACCCTTTGCTTCCTATCTTTAATTTTTTTTACGTCTTCTTCAAAATAATTCTACTTTTTTACCTTTTTCACTCTAGCAACACAATTACTTTTACCTGCACATTTTATGCCTCTCAGAGAACACTGAATCCATATTGTATTTTCTTTATATATCCACATATTTATGACTTCAGTTTCAATGAATTTTGTCAGTATGGAAGGTAGGCTTTCTGGCTGTATTTCTCCAGAGATACGGAGCCTCTTTCCAAATCCCATGTCATGCTTGAAAATTCCTCATCCTCTGAGATGAAGGCCAAACTATTTTATAATTTTCATATATATTATACAAATTATAATTTAAAAGTTGTATATTAGAAATCACGATGACAGTTTGGCAGTTTCCTATTTTAAACTTAGGTGAAAAATATATGACCTTGATCATATGACACTATTAATTTTATTGATTTATTCTGAAATCTCTTCTATTGCCACCTCAGTAGCAGAAAAAGCTCTTGATGCTCAATGATTTTTGAAAAAAGTCTTTGAACTGAGAACTTGTCTATGTTCTACTATAGCAATAATCAGCACACAGGTCATTTGGCTTTGCATTGTAATTCATTTTTCTGAGTTCTTCTTTTTTATTAGATCCAGACCTCTCTGAAAGAATTCCTGTCTAATGTGTTTTTATGAATAGTTTTTATGTCTTGTGCATGTTATTCCTCTGAAACTCTTCAGGTCTGTCATAAAATGGTACTAAATTTGCAAGAATTTATATTCCTTTTAATTTTCCTTATCCATACAGGAGTGTGCTTTTTGAAGCATGGCTTTATTACTTCTATCTCACTCTGCTAATTATGGCACAGTTTGGTATATTTCCATGTGGGGAGGAGGGTGAGGGGAAAAATGCTTTTTTACATATATTTTGACCTTTTAATATGTTGTGTTAAAACTGTTTGTATTCCAGATAGAAACAGTGTCAGTCAACATAATTAGTAGGGACTACTGGACAATTCATCAGATCACAGATAGATGGATTATTTAGATCTTTAGGTTAAAGTCATATCACCTGAATGCTGTGTTCAGCCTTAGTCTTCAAAGACTGTTCTTAGAATAGGACTCTAGAATTCTCAGAATATTTATCTTTGTCTCCTTGAATCCTAACTTCTTTTAAGATACAACAGCAGTCCTTTACAGATCTATTCTGTCACTCTAATACTTTTTTAACCTTGGAATTTTCCTTCCTGAAAGTTTTTAGCATGCCTACCAACATTTCATATCAATATGCTTGTTTACAGTTACACACTCCATATATTCTATCCTATTTTAGCCTTATCCTTTAATTTTATTCTAAATTATTAATTTATGACCTCTGCTCATATATGAGCATATATATTTATCTTTTAGAGTATTCATTGAAATTTTTATACCTGCATTTTACAAATTCCTTTTTATTTCTTAGGAGACAATTCATCCTCACCTGTGTCCTTCTCCACCATCCCTCCTCCACTTCAGTTTTCCCAGTCCTTAGTTTTAAATGCAAAATAAACACAACTTGCTAATTTGATCTGTATGGAACATTTGTACAGGCCTCATCTATGCCTTAAAAAGTTGACAGCAGAAAATAACAAAATTGTTCTGATCAGATAAGAATAATAGCTTACTTCCATGCTGCCCTTCATTTAGCAGTGAAGTCAATAAGCATATATATATACAAACATAATGTAAAATGTAAGCTAAAGTTGTAAAAATGCTTAAAGTAAGTGAATGTTAACTCACCCTAGTGCAAAGTCTAGAGTTAAAGGTTTTCAGTTAAAAGTTTTCAGTTATTTCTCTGAATTCCCCACTAACACATGGTATGAATCATACAGAATTGCTAACAAGCATGTCTCACATCTGTATCATTCAATTTCAAAACTAATTTTGCTAAATGTTTTCCTCTTTCTTTTTTCCCTCCTAGCATGACAACTAACTGGCTACAACCAGCCTTAAATTATTCTTTTGTAATTATTTAAAAATATTCTACCTGTATTAGAAAAATATACTCAAAACTGAGTTCTACCTGTATTAGAAAAGAATGCTCAAAACTGAGTTAGATAGGAAATAATCAAGTGTACATTCTTCATCTACAAGTCAAAGCTTATTTTTAATTATAATGGCATTCTTTATGTGGGGAGAGGAGAGGACTAAAGGATGAGGAAATCCTCTGGTTTCTTCTTTTAGGCTGGAAACACCGATGCTTTATTATACTATGTTAAACAATAATTGCTCAAATGTAAAAATACAAGACTAAATGAATAAGGCAATTCCTGTATTCAACGATGAATGAGGATATTAAAGCTACACCCCTGCAACTCCTGCAAATGGTATTATAAGCATTTTTCTAATGTTTCATTCATGGGGAAGTTCATTTTATATAATGTTTGAGTATAGTAAATGGCCAAAAGCATTCCATTAACCAGAAGCCGTGAAGTCAGTGGGGTGGCTGTTGCAGCATTTAGTCTCCTCAGAGTGGTAAAAGGAATAGTCAACAAAACAGAGAGGAGCTGGATCTAAGTGGAAGATGAAGCAGAGCAAAATGTGATGCATTTTAAAAAATATGTTAGGTAGAAGGTAGAAACAAAGAAAATGTAAGCACAAGCACTTGCCAAAGAACATAAAAACTTTTCATACTCTTTTCAGCTGGGGTGCACATCAATAGCACCTCAGGATATCACCAAGAGATGTTTTTTAAGAGTCAAAAGCAACCACTTGTGCTGCAGATTCCAATGTTACTTTTGGCTGAATAAAGTTTCTATAACTCATATTGCTTGGATCTGAGTGGAATCAAAGACTTAACACACAGAAACACCAACTAGATCAGAAAGCTTGTAAAATGAAGCAGCCCAAAACTGATGGTAGCTGAAGCTCTCTGAAAATGTGGAGGCAGCAGAGAAGGTTCTCAGTGCATTTCACAGTGCATCTGTAACAAGTGAAATCACCAAAATGAATATCAGCTGGGACATAGCCATAAATCTCCTTTTAGCAATTTGTAGTCCCTTAGCATTCAATTTAACTGGAAAAAGATGACAACTATAAAACTCTCTTGCAGCTTCAGAAGAAAACTAGTAAAACTAGTAAAAATGGGCACCATGAAAATCTGAAGGATGGGAAACATGATGAGATTTATGATTTGAAGCATTAACTTTAAATCACTGCAGCCTTTTTAACCTCTCCAATTACAACAACAGGGTAAAATTATGCATTACAACCACAAGCAAAAAAACATAACTAGCAGCAAGCACAAGTAGAAGGGTGACCTTGATCAAAGACCCCAAGAACACAGAAATTTATATATTCACAAGAACTACTGATGCAAGAGTGGAACAAGGACTGCAGAGGCGTTTGGTTCTCCAGAGGAAAAATAAGCTATCAAATGAGTTTCAAAGGAAAGAAAGGTTTTGGCAGGAGACTCCTCAATTCTTGGGACAAGTTTCTGTTTTTTAATGGAAAAAAATATGAGAAATGTTGAGTGAGAGTTGTCTGACTAAACATATATATCAAGATCTGACCTAAGCATGAGGACTGCCTTTATGGTTGTCAGAAACAAAGGAGATTATCATTCTGCAGCAGTCCCCTACAAAACAGTCAGAAGGATTATACCCTAAAAAGTCCTTGATTGTAAAGAGAACCTTGATTGATAACTTCAGATGTAGACCTATACGCTTCACTTGCTCAGAATTAGGTGTTACAAGTCACTCTCTCACTGTCACCCCAACTCAGCCACACCTAGAAGGCAAAGCATTTCAGAACAAGAGTCATAAGTCTTGGCACTTGCTTTGTTGGAGGAAGGCGGCTCTTTTATGAGATGATGGGAGGAATCATGAACTGCTTAGTGAAACCATTTCAAGCAGGTCATAAAGTAGTTTCTCTTTCAGAGTCTTAATTCTGCCTTCCAGCTTCAAATCATAGAATCACAGAATAGCTTGGGTTGAAAGATACCTTAAAGATCATGTAGTTCCAATCCCCTGCCGTTGGCAGGGACATCTTCCACTAGACCAGGTTACTCAGAGCCCCATTCAACCTGACCTTGAACACTTCCAGGGATGTGGCATCCACAACTTCTCTGGGCAACCTCTTAAAGTGCCTTACTACCCTCACAGTAAAGAATTTCTTCCTAATATCTAATCTAAACATACTCTCTTTAAGTTTAAAGCCATTCTGCTTTGTCCTATCACTACATGCCCTTGTAAAAAGTCCCTCTCCAGATTTCTTTTAGGCTCCCTTCAGGTACTGAAAGGCTGCAATTATTTCACCCTGAAGCTTTCCCTTCTCCAGGCTGAACAATCCCAATTCACTCAGCCTTTCCTCATAGGAGAGGTGCTCTAGCCCTCCAATCATGCTGAAATTGGAACAGAACAAGAGCCAGCCTGAACAAATCTCCATCATGCACTGGAGTAATGAACTGATAATTATGATAGCCCAAAGGCATCTGTGTCTGCACTGACTAAACCAAGCAGCTCTTTCTCATCAAATCAGAAAAGAGGCTCAATCATAGGGGAGTTTTGCTTCCTGTCTCATTAATTCACTTTCTGTGAAGTCAATATCAGTCTGGAACCTTTTCCAACATATGCATTTCTCACGTTTATTTTTCTCTGCTTGAGGCAACGGAAGAACAAATGAACATAATGTGATGAGGCTTTTAAGCCATTAACTGCCCAACAGCAAGGAGGTAGAGCTTCTGGGAGAGAAGCGTCTCAAAAATGCCCATTTTTGGGAGCTTCATCGTATAAAATTAATTTAAGCGACTAGAAGGAGCTGTCCTTTTATTTCTTTTAAAGTGTAATACCTAAAGCTGATCTCCTTCATCACTGAGAATAAGGCAACTTCGTAAATGCAAATCTTTCATACCGAATGACTGCTACCGATTTGCAAATGCACTAAGTAATCTAAACTCTTTCTCAATATGATTAAAGCCTTTTACTTCTCATATATATTGATCTTGGCTATCACTATGGAGCTTCTAGATCATACAATAGAAACTTTATAGCTTAAGTGAAGGGAGTCAAGTACTTTTGCTTATGGTTATTAAACAGTTCTTATATTTCATGGTTCAAGCACAGCCAAGACATGCAATACATGCTAAGAAAAGTACAGACTGATGAACCCTCAAAGATACATTATGCTGCCTTTTCTAGCTCTGTACAGAAGTACCTTGAGTGCAGTAAAATAACTTAAAGTTGTCATGAGGGGAAAAAAATGTTTCAAATGGTTTTATATAGCATTGAATTTTATACAATTAAGAAAAGTTTAAATTGTTAATTTTTAAAAAATGTAGAACATCTTAAAAGACATTGATTTAATTATTTAGAAGTGCTTCAGTTGCTCGAACTGTTACTTTAATTTAGAAAGCCTTTGAAATATGTAGAGATTTAAAATTCAACAAACTTTTAAAATCTATCAAAAAATTCCTTCTCTTAACTCTATTCTTTCATTAATTAAAAATATTTTTCATTCCAATTGTTCTAAATGCAATTTTCAGCTAAGAATGCCCATGTGCCTTTGGTTTCAAACAGTAAAGAGCCACAATAATTAAGTAATTTTAATTTCTATTTTGGATCTTTGTTAAAGAAAACAAAACAAAACAAACTCAGAGAAAAAAATATTTTATGACCTTTGCAAGAACAGGCAGGCAACTCAGGAAGAGTACAAGGATGTCATTAGGTCACATAGAGAGAAAATTAGAAAGGCAAAAACTCAGCTAGAACTCAATCTGGCAACTGCTGCGAAAGATAATAAAAAGTGTTTTTATAAATATATTAACAACAAAAGGAGAGCCAAGGAAAATCTCCAGCCTTTATTGGATGCAGGGGAAAGGGGGGAATGTTGTAACCAAGGATGAGGAAAAGACTGAGGTACTTAATGCTTTCTTTGCCTCAGTCTTTAAAAGAAAGACCAGTTATCCTCAGGGCAACCTGCCCCCTGAACTCGTAGACAGGAACTGGGAACAGAATAGAATGCCTGTAATCCAAGAGGAAGTAGTGACCTGCTGTGTCACTTGGACACTCACAAGTCTACAGTACCAGATGGGATTCACCTGAGGGTATTGAGGGAGCTGGTGGAAGAGCTCGCCAAGCCACTTTCCATCATTTACCAGCAGTCCTGGCAAACCAGGGAGGTCCCAGATGACTGGAGGTTGGCCAGTGTCACATCCATCTAGAAGGGTTGGCAGGAGTATCAAGGGAACTACAGGTCTGTCAGCCTGACCTCAGTGCCAGGGAAGGTTATGGACACAGATTATCTTGAGCGCAATCACATGGCGCGTACAGGAGCACAAGGGGATCAGGCCCAGCCAGCACAGGTTTAAGAAAAGCAGGTCCTGCTTGACCAACCTGATCCCCTTTTATGACCAAGTGACCCACACAGCAGATGAGAGAAAGGCTGTGGATGTTGTCTACATGGACTTCAGTAAAGCCTTTGATACTGTCTCCCACAGCATTCTCTTGGAGAATCTGACAGCCCATGGCTTGGAGAGGAGCAATCTTCACTGGCTTAAAACCTGACTGGACAGCTGGGCCCAGAGAATCGTGGTGAATGGTGCTACATCTATTGGGGTTCCCCAGGGCTCAGTGTTGGGCCAGTCCTGTTTAACTTCTTTATCAATTATCTGGACAAGGGAATTGACAGCACGCTCAGTAAGTTTGCAGGTAGCACCAAGCTGGGCCAGAATGTTGATCTGCTGGAGGGTGGGAAGGGTCTGCAGGTGGATGGGGACAGGCTGGATTGATCGGCTGAGGTCAACTGTAGGAGATTCAACAAGGCAAAGTGCTGAATCCTGCACCTGAGTCAAAACAATCCCATGCACCACTACAGGCTTGGAGCAGAGTGGTTGGAAAGTGGTCCAGCAGAAAAGGACCTCAGAGTGCTGGTTGACATTCAGATGAACATGAGCCCAGGTGGCCAAGAAGGCCAAAGGCATCCTGGGCTGTATCAGAAATAGTGTGGCCAGCAGGACCAGGGCAGTGATCGTTCCCCTGTACTCAGCACTAGTAAGGTCACACCTCGAGTGCTGTGTCCAGTTCTGGGTCCCTTATGACAAGAAAGACATTGAGGTGCTGGAGCAAGTCTAGAGAAGGGCAACAAAGCTGGTGAAGGGTCTAGAGAGCAATTCATATGAGGAGCAGATGGAGTTGTTCAGCCTGGAGAGGAGACTCAGGGGGGACCTTCTCTCTCTAGAACTATCCGAAAGGAGGTTGTGGCCAGGTGGGTGTTGATCTCTTCTCCCAGGTAACTAGTGACAGGATGACAGGAAATGGTCTCAAGCTGCACCAGGGGACGTTCAGGTTGCACATCAGGAAGAATTTCTTCACTGAAAGGATTGTCAAACATTGAAACAGGCTGCCCAGGGAGGTGGTGGAATCATCATCCCTGGAAGTGTGGAAGAAACTGGATGTGGCGCTTAGTGCTATGGTTTAGTTGATAGGATGGTGTTCAGTCAAAGGTGATCGGTCAAATGATCTTAGAAATCCTTTCCAACCCTGATGATTCTATGATTGTGTTACCATATCAGGAGCTCAGATGTGTTAGCACTGGAACAGATGGATGTGTTTCTTTCAAAGTTGCATTTTTTAGGATTCAGCACATCCCTTGTATGTTTCTCTTTATAATGGCAATTGGATTCTGTTTTCCTCAAGGCAGGACTGTCTTCCATTTAATCACATTAAAATTAAAAATTGAATATTTTTTGATTGCAACCTGAATGTCATACAAAAAGGTAACTCTTCATAAATAACTATTCTGCATTGCTACTTACTGTTAACATGATATGATGTGATCTATAAATGATGTTCTGATTATTAGCAGACTTTACCTTGCAGTTGTAAATACTAAGTACTGACTAAAAGGAATGAAACCAATTAATTTAAAAATGGATACATTACTAGCCTTAAATTAATTAATAATACCGTTTTTACTGACCAGCCACTCCAGGAAGCTTGATAAGGTTCCATGCAGAACTCACTATGAAACCATTAGACTTAAATGGAGAAAAAACCCCTTAATTTACAGTTCCTAAAAACAATAATAAGTTCTAAAGACAATGGCAGATTTATGGTCTCCTAGAACAGTAAAACTTCTATAGTTAGGGGATATAGCTATTGTACATGAAAATTCGTGTAATATTTTCTGGTCAAAACCTCATGTAATACAGATTGCTTTCCTGTGTAATCTTGAAAATCATCTACAGCATTTCTCCGTAAACATTAAGTTGTTGAATGATAAAAATCTGACAGTTCTAGGCACTGAAGATTACTCACCCTTGAAGGTCTCACTGCAGTATAAATTACTGAAAAATGAATCCCTCGTTCCTGCAGATCCATGGTCACTCTTCTGATTATTTTGTCTGTAAATAGAAATATGCATAATTTAACAAACTCTGTAAGATGAGAAAGCTAAAATCTTACAGTAGTTGGAGAAGTAATGAGCTAGATGTTTAAGCTTATTTGGTCTATTTAAGCAATTTAAGTGCTCATACCATTTATAGGTCAATAGGTAAAAATGGGATGACGTTCATTGTCTTGACAAATGAAAAATTTCAGTGAAATAATACCAAAAAAATACATTACAACAGTGCAGAAAAAGGAGTGATTTTGAAACTGAAAAGTAAGTATCACAGAAACAGTACCCAAAAGTTTGAACTTTGGGCAATTGAAAACAAGAGCAGAAGAAATCACTTAAGAGATGAGAGTGGGATGCATATACTGTTAGTCAAGGGACCAATTAATAAATAAATAATAAAGTTTAAGAAGTATTATTCTGTGAATTACAAAGTATACAGAACCTATCTCTGAGAAACAATACTCAAAATACAGTGCTTAGTGTGGAGTATGATATGCATAATATTGGCAGCAATATTTCTTTTGGCTTCAGTGGATTTAAAGCCTGATTCTGCACCCTTAGTAGGATACAGAAAATTTTGCTGTTGACTGCAGTGGAGGCCAAAGGAGAAATACAGTGGAATATTTCTGGAAAAGGAAGGAGAAGTCTAGTAAGGAAGAGAGGACCTTTCAAAGAAGTCAATTATGCCTCTACAGAAGATCCTCCTTTAGTTCTGAAACTACAGGCAGTTGCAACAAATACTTAAAACGAGTAAGTATTTTCAAGGTCTATGCAGAAATATTAACATCTGCTTATGATAAGGAGCATAATAGTTGTAAATCGTGAACCATTATTAGTCTTGTTATTTGGACTGCTAGAGAAACAAGCAAGCAGACTCACTTTTACTGTTTCAGTGCCTTCCCACTTTTCATTCATGTACCAGCCTGGTGAATGGATATTTTATGGCCTGGACACACAGATTTCTCAGGTTTTGAGGTTACATTTTACAGAAATTGTGTTTTATTTTCACGTACTGGAAATGGAGCTTATATTATTATCCTCTTTAATCTCTTCTATTTACCCTAATTACGGTCTCCTGGCTGAGTAAAATGTTTAGCTTCTGTAAGAATGCAAATGCATTGGTTTTTCTGCAGGTTTTAACCAAACTGATTGCCTCATATCAGTCAAGAATCATAGCTATGTAAATTTTCCTTCTAAAAATTATTGTTAAAAGGATCTACAATAAGAAATATGCTTATTAATCAGAAAAACAACTGCTTAACTACTACTAATGTAATTATATTGGTTGTGGAGATCTAAGGCATTACATAACATAGATTCATAGTTTTTGGAAATGCTCATCAGATTCATAGATTTTGGAAATTCTCATCAGTCTCAGCCAAAATTTGCAGAAGAAAAAAATAATACTTATAAAAATGCATAGATTGACTTTGTTTTTTTTCTTTCATTAAAGAAATCAATTGCTTTCTGCAATAACATGTTATTTGCATTTCACTTCAGAAAGGAGCTACATGTAACTATAGTTACCAGTAGCATCTATAACTCTTGCCTTTGGGAAGATTCTAGAGGCAATTCCTTCATTCAGAGAAGCTTTTGTGAACAGAGTCGATATAGATCTTTGTCTGTGATCAGAACTCTACCTTGCTCATGAAGTATTTTCAAATTCTCCAAGGAAAAGGGCCCAGATTGTCCACCATACTTTAAAGCCCCTAAATTATATGCCTACATGAGAACAGTAGTGCAGATTTTGCACTTGGCCATGCAAAGTGGCACATCTTCCCTGATCCACACATCTTTTTCCCAATTAACAGTTAGCTGACACTAACCCAAGAATTGGGTTAACAGGTCACTTGTTAACTTTGCTTTTCCAAAGCAAAGTGGCCTGAGACAACAGTGGCATGAGTAGACAGTGTGCCCTGGCCTCCAAAAGGGCCAGCTGTGTCCTGGGTGCATCAGGCAAAGCATTGCCAGCTGGTCAAGAGAGGTGATTGTCCTGCTCTGCTCTGCACTGGGGCGCCCTCACCTTGCATATTGTGTGCAGTTAAGCTAGACATTAAGCTATTAGAGAGTGTCCAAAAGAGGCCAATGAAGATGGTGAAGGGCCTTGAGCAGAAGCTGCTTGAGAAGTGGCTGAGGGCACTTGGTTTGTTCAGCCTGGAGAAGCGGAGACTGAGGAGAGACCTTGCTGCAATCTTCAACATCCTCACAAGGGGAAATGGAGGGGCAGGCACTGATCTCTTCACTCTCGTGACCAGTGACAGGACTGGAGGAAACGGCATGAAACTGAGCCGTTCAGGTTGGAAGATTTAGGTTGGATATCAGGAAAAGGTTTTTCACCCAGAGGCTAGTTGGATACTTGAACAGGCTCCCCAGAAAAGTTGGTCACAGCACCAAGCCTGACAGAGTTCAAGAAGAGTTTGGACAATGCTCTCAGGCACGTGGGGCTGTCCTGTGCAGGGCCAGCAGTTGGACTCGATGATCCTTGTGGGTCCCTTCCAACTCAGCATATTCTATGATATGGGAAGCTTATTCTGCAGTCTGTCCAGCTGATGACAGAAATGTCCCATAAAGAAAAAGCCAATGTTTAGCCAAGGCCAACATTAAGCCAAGGCTTAATTAAGCCAAGGCTTAATGTTCTGGGGACAAGAAAAGAGAACAAAATAACTCCTCTGCCATTCAGAGATGGAAATTCAACTGCTTGTTTGAGTATAAAACCCATTCATTTTGGAGTACTGCAAAAACATAGAAAAGGACTCACCAATGATTTCAGTACTAAGGTACTTTTTTTCTTCATTTCAAATCTCCTTCTGATTTTACACCCCCAGTTCTAAACAGAAACAGTCATTGGCACCAATAACACTGTTTAATTATCAGCCCACTACACTACACTGTGTATCCCCAAAACTACCATGTCAGTGATTTGCAGACCTTATAACTCAATCCCTAATTTAGAGTTGTAAGTGAAAGCCCTGCAAAAAAATGAGATGCCTCTCAGTGCCTCTTTGGTGTATGGCACCTCTTTTTCAACCAGATGCTAGGGAAGAAAAAGGTTTTTTTATAGTGTCATATGGAAGGATTCAACTCTAACAAGTAGTATTTAATAACCGCAATTCTGATAAAAGACTTTGATATCAAAGGCAATGAACTGTTTTACAAAGATTAGAAAAACATTTCCTATTCATGCAGACACCCTCTGTTGAGATCAAGGCCTTGGAACTGCTGGATGAGCCTGGCATCTTCAGCTCCCAGTGTGCAAGATGAGAAACAAGGAGGCAGTCCAAGCTGCATGGAGACACAGGGTTCCTACTCAGAGCACGAACAAAGGCCCATGCCTGAAGCAGAGAGGAATTATCACTACATTTCAGGTCACAGAGCCGTATCCAGTTTGGTGGATTTTGAATCAGACACTGTAGTGGTTTGAACCAGGTTTTCCCCCTGAAGCTAAAAGTGGTAACCCCCGAGGGGGTGGTGACCCTTGGGGTTTGACCCAATCAGTGCTCCTGCAAAATATAAACATATCTCTAGACCGGAAAAGAAGAAGTTGTACTTGTTGTTTGAAGAAGTAGTAGCCATGTTGTTGTAGAGCCACGAGGAGCCGGGGCAAAAGCCCTGGGGGCTCTGCCCCCCCCAGCCCCGGTTGGGGGGGTTATGGGGACTCGGAACAGTGTTAAACTGGGCTGAGTGCCTGTAGCTAAGAGCTGGGGGAGTTTCTCTCCAGTAAGCAGCAGTAGGAGACACTAAGAGAAGCGGCAGAGCAGCAGTGGACGGAGAAAAAGCGGCGGCACAGAGCCAAGAGATAAGAACTGAAGAAGCAACAAACAAGTATGCAGCAACACAGAGAGAACTCCTGCAAGGAAAGAGAGAAAAGAGCCAACAGCAGAGAGCAGGATTAAGCCCTGCAGAGAGAGAGTTTCGGGGTAAGAACTAACAACCAAAACTTCCCCCAAACTCCTTTGAGACCCCTCTGAGGAGGAGGGAGATGGAAGAGCCTCAGAGTGTTACAACACTGCTGAGAGAGGAGCAAGAAGCTCAGGCCTCCTGAGAGCTAAGCCAGGATGGCCAAAGGTATGTGTGTGGAGGGGGTGACCTTGGGGCCCCCCCCCCCCTTGCTGCAGCTTCAGAGAAGCTGGCAGCCATCTTGAGGCAGAGCACAGAAGCTCTATAAAGGGGCTTGATTTTCCCCTGAAGATACCAGACCGTCACGAAGGCTTCTGCACTTCGTTGATATGAGCGTGGTGGAGCAACCTTTGTCTGGGGTAACGCAGCCCACGGAAAAACCCTTCGTTTGCATCGAGGGGCCGAGAGAGACTTGGAGACTCCCTCGTGTGTATTGGCAAAAGTCCAACGACTGCTGCTTCATGAAAGACACAGAGAGACTGCTGCTCTAGAGAGACCTGCTACTCAGAGACTGGAAGGGGTCTTTTCTTCTTCTTCTCTCCTGGACTTTTATTTGGAGGGAGAAGAGATTTGGCCCATTGTAAATATTATATGTCATGGTAGAAATAGAGTTAAGATTGTATGTAATGTATTATACTATTTATTTATGTGTACAGTCACTGTAATATAATTCCCTTCCCCCCATATTGAGTCTAGTGTTTTTTGTCTGGAAAACCCATCTCTCACATTGGGTTGAGATGAGGGAATCAGGAATTGGATTTTGGGCTCTAAAACCATGACAGACACTCAGTATTTCAACACTATGATAAGTACTACAGATGGGGGGGAGTAAAATCTTTAAATAGTAAAAAGCAAAGACCAAGAACTGGAGTACACCATCAGCTCCAGTGACAACACAGACTTAAATGATGAAATGTTGGTTATATCTTGGTCATATTACTTACCATTTTCAGCAACTGCTTCTAGGGTGGAAATCTCTTTTAAACCACTACAGAAAGAGTGGGAGAAAAATAATTAAAAATCTTTTCTAGGAAAAACAATGAGAACCACAAATGTATGAAGACACTGATTAGTAAAAGCATTACTGTCAGTGTCAGTCCCTCCATCATGCTCTCATCTCCTAATGACCCTTTTCTTCTGCAAAGCCATTAGAAGTACAAGGACCATATCTTCAGCTGATTCCTTAAACCCCTCAAACTTCCTAAGCTACTGATGTTATTTCAATCAATCTTCGAGCAGCTTTCTTTTCATTTGGCATTGGCCCCTTGTCTACCATTAGTACAAGAGCTCCTTAAAAAAAAGTATCATGCCTCTTTTTGTGCAGTTATGTGACAGCTAGAATTGCATTTCTTTCGGACACAGATATATGCACCTTACATTGATGTGTGTGTCATGATGTACAAATGCCCAAGTTAAAAGGCTGGGAAGAAGAAAGAGCAGGAGCAGCTGCGCAACTATGCCTTATATTTTCTAATTATACATTCACCTGAAGGAACAGTCTCACTCTCCATCTGTTAGATCACAGTCCTCATAGGGCTGGAAACATGAAGAATTATAGCCCATCTCTTCCTTCCAGAGTGATGAAAATCAGTCTCTATTCATATTAGCTTCAGGTTTGTCTGTATGATTAGTTGCTTGCTTATCCTGTCAGGTTTTTTTGGCCCCTGGTATGCCTTCTAGCAATTAATTCTGCAGGTTAATCATGTGTTGAGTAAAATAATTGAGCCTTTCTGCTAAAGGTGTGTTGCCATTTAGTTTTATCAGCTGTCCCTTTGTTCTCATATAATGAGTCAGACAAAATAGAAATGCCTGACTACCTTGCTCAACATAATTCATCTATTACACCTGGTAAGCTCATCAGGGGGCTTTGAAAAACACTGAATTCACCCTTGTAAGAGCCCTGTAAGCTTCTATTCTGTTTTTTGAATTTCCTGAATACAACTGATGTTTTCAAAAGCTCTAAAATTCATGCACACATGTGGGTCAATTCTGTTTGTGATAAGCTCCTACCTGACAAGTGGTTGTAGTTGAACCACCAGTAAGTTTCCTTCGGATGCATTCACTTCCAGTTGAGACACATTGAGATTAGTTACATTTGTTAACTTCCAATCTCCTGACTCCTGAAGAAAGCTCAGAAGATACCTGGTAGCCTCACAGTCAACAGCTGGCAAAACTAAAGATGAAGGAGAAGACTGAAGAATTTCCTGTAATAAATTTATGAACAGTTTATTTACTTGCTTAATATTTAGTTGCTTAATAATTACACACAAACCTTCTTTTTTTTTTAAGTATCCTTAATTTAATATTCAAGGTGAGGAACCACCATGGTAAACATCACGTGAATTCTCATCAGCCTGATGCTGGCTGCAGCCTGCTTCTGGAAAGGGGCAGTGGAGAGACACTTGTGTTGCTCTTATTCCTGAACATTCTTGCAGCAAGCTTAAAGTGCTCAGTAACACCATCTTCTTACTTGTCCTTTCCACACGTGTGATGTAAGAGATGATGTAGAAGTTCTCAAGCTAAGAGTGTACTGGAGATGAGTGTACAGGTTTTGAACGCTCACACGACCCTCTAACTAAATGCCCTCATGAGTGACAAGGAACAATGTCAAACATCTCCAGTTCCAGCAGCTCTGTTCAGTAGAGTCATACTTTGCATAATGAACACTGTACATCCTAGTGGTACAGCACATGGTACAGACAAGTGCCTAATTTGTAACTACTAATTAACAAAAGCTACATATTTCAGGATGTACAGAGCCTCCAGACACAAAAACAAACAAAGCTCATGTCATGTACTTTCTACTTGAAGTAGAAAAGTAGCTTTGTTTGTTTATAAAGCTCAGGCTGAATTGGTTCAGATGATAAAGCATCAGGGTATCCATCAGCTTATTTACAATTCTCATATCTGAGTTTCTGAGTGAAATGAATTGAAAAATATTCTCATTCTGTAAATTTGAAACCCTCATAGTCAAAAAAAAACTTTTTCAAAGATTTTTCTTGATAATAAAATTAAATATTTGGGGAAACAAAATACAAGATGAAGACTTGAAAATTATCAAAATTAATGTACCCCAGCTTTAATGTTGTGGTAGGTTGACCCTGGCCTGATGCCAGATGCCAACCAAAGCTGCTTTGTCACTGCTCTCTTCAACTATACAAGGAAGAGAAAATAAAAGGCTCATGGGTCAGGAAGAGGTCACTCACTAACTACTGTCATAAGAAAAACAGACTTGGAGAAATTAATTACAACTTGTTAACTTTGCTTTCCCATTTTCTACATTTAAGTCTAGACTAAGTCTGTCACTTAATCCAACATTCAGATATTCATGTTGTTACAGACTCTTTCTCTCCCTCTGATGCAAGTGTTGTAGTGTTGCTAACACTTTCCTCCTACTGTTCTTTTTTCCTTTTTGTCTCTGGCTGCCTACCACTTTTTTGACCTGCTTTGGTTCTTTCTAATTGTTCACATGTTTTCCTTCCTAGGAAAAGGCTAGTTATTTTCACATTTCTATAGATGATCATAAGAGAGAATTATGCATTATTGTCTGACTTGCCAGACTGATAAATAAAAAACTGCAGAAATTGAAATAGAGCAGAAAGCACTGATCTTGTTCACAAGTCTTTGAGTAGTAATTTTAGCACCACCTGGAAGGAAAAGATGAATTTTGTTTTGTTTACAGATATGAATTTAGGGCTGAAATTCTGAGCATTTCAATGATTTTATTTTATTTTCAATATTTTAATCCCTTGTCCCATAGTAGCAGCCAGAATGACAGCAGTCACTTTTTCCAAGGATATATATTAAGCAGATTATTCATATATTGTAGAATAAGATATAAAATGCATCATTACTGAGTAATAACTGAATTGTGCCTCTGCTCCTAACCAATCCTACACTGCCACCTGCCTCAGCATCCAGCCATTGGTATTCAACTGTTTTCCATCTGAAGGGTAGAAACAGCTGGATATCAATTCCTTAGCCTCAGTCATTCTAATCACACACAGCTTGTTAGTCCATCTTGACATTTGGCAACAGTGCACTTTTCTCTTCAATACCCCTATGTTGCTTTACACATTTTAGGATTTCAGTTACTATGCTTGTTCAAAATATGAGAACTCCAAAAGAGGGTGGAGAATGAAGAGGACTACTGAGAAACACCTGATTTTTCATTGTGCTAAAGAAAAGAAGTACAGCCACACAGCAGCTAGGAACAGGAGAGGGAGGGGGAGATGGAGAGGGAGAGACGGAGAGGGGAAAAAGGAAAGGGAAAGGGAATAGGAAAGGGAAAGGGAAAGGGAAAAACCTCCTATTGACCTGTTGGATTGACAGCAGAACTTCCTACACTAAATGCAGTATCTATAACCTGTCTATGGGCAGCTTACTCTGATTATGAGCACATTTACTTTCTTTAGTGTCCCTTCAAGCAATCTCCTTAGTGAAATAACAAGAAACATCACTCTTGGATGATATATACCACTGTTCAGGGTTTTTTGAAGGTAGGTTTGGGACGGCTGTCCACATTTCTAGCCATCCTGAAGTAGCTGCATTAGGATAAATCTGTGCCCAGACTTACTTGCCCTTACTTCAGTGTTATAACTGCATTGATGTTACACCTAAGCCATTTGAAGCCTGAATGGAGTAAATTTAGGTCTATCACTAAGAACTTATTGTTAAAATCTTTGTTAAAAACTTATGCATTTGTCTATAAAAGATCATGTAGGCCTACTCATGGTTCTGAATTAGTTCGTTTGGCATCAAAGTTGATAGACAGTCCTATAATAAAAAATATTAGTTGGGAAAAAGATTCCTGTTTGAACTGCAGAAACATCTGGAAACCTATGTTTGAAGCAGGCAGGTTCTTCCATGTAAAAGAAATAATTTGATTATTTTTTTTAACTGTATGTCATTTGAAATATTAAAGTATTGTATTTATTTTCTACAGCATTGGTCAGTGGGTTATCTGTAAAAAAGAAAAATCTATTCAAACAGATTATCAAGGACATTTGTTTCTACACATAGTGATAACTGCAAAGAAAGTTATAATTGTTTAATTTTAACTTTCCAATTACTATTTATCTTACAAACTCTTACACTGTAGGTGTATCCTTCAAATGTATGCATAAAGATATACATTATGATTTTAATGAAAACTGGTCTGATGTTCTGCTAATAAAGTGTATTGCAAATACAGGAAGTACTGTTGAACAAACCTCCATACTACTATGCTGTATAGTGGGAAACATGAAATGAGATTTTTTTTTTCCAAGGGTTACAGAACGATCCAAGGAACTAGAGAGAAGAAAACCTGAAGTCCAAGAAAGGGAGGAAGTATTCCAAAGAATTAAATACAGACTATAACAACAAGGAAGGATTATACTGGGGAAAAGCTTGACATGGCTTTTGCAAAAAGTTTTGCCTCACAATTCTGCTGAAAATCTCCAAAGGAGTCAATAGTCATGCACACTAGGAAGCTCTAACTGGCACAGTCCACTTGGATCCACAAAAGGCATTTGGCAGTCTTGAAGCAATGACTGTTAAAGAAATGAAGCTGCTTTGGCGAGAGAGAGGCAGTCTTCACAGGAAGGTAGGTAAAGGATAAGTAAAGATACAGCAAGCAAGGGGTAGAAAAAATATGTGTTACTGCACTCGAGTCTGTTCTGTTCCATGTGTTCATAAACTATATGGTAAAATGATATAAATATTGAGCTAATGAAATCTACTCATTATGCTGAATTATTCAAGGCAAGGGCTGACTGATGAACTACAGAAGCAACTTCTGGTACAGCCTCTCGGGCAACAGAATGATTGATAAGATTCAATGTAAACTGATTTTAGCGGAGCGCAGGGTGAGAAGAAAACAAACCTAATTTTATCTACACAATAGTAGGTAACAGAACTGGGTGTCACCCTTCAGTAATGAAACCTTGAGAGTTACAACAGTTCTTTGAAAATGGCAATTCAGAGGCTGATAGTGATCAGAATTGGAAAAATCAAATATTAGTAATGTTTTAGAACAGGCTAGAGAACAAAACATCATGTCACAAAATAAATCTATGACGAACTTTTATCTTGATTATTATGCAGTTCTGCATGTTTCCTTGTCAAAAAATAATATAATAAAACTAAAAGAAATGAAATAAGGAAGATCAAAACTATACTAGGACCTCTGTATCACATGTGACTAAATAGCACTTCTCAGTCTATGACCACTGAGTGAGGATAAGATGGAGTTATAGGACCACGAATGGCAATGACTTAAAATCATAATTATCCTGTTGCACAGCTGGCCACTAATTGGAATTTGCTACCATACATTGTAGTTCTAAGGAGCTGAGCATTATCTAGGGAAAACCAAAGCTAATATTAAAGAAAAACAGTTTGTAGGGTAGGTGACTGCTTGACAAAGAAGTTCCCCAAATGCTAATCTTTGTATTTTATTATTTAATTTAAAAGTTGTTTGGAAGTTCAAGATAAATGATCTACCTATAAGATTCCTTTTGTATTAACTGGAAATATAATTCTTTTATAGCATACAAACCCACTGATACCAAAAGCTCAAAACAGCTGCTAATGTAGCTGAACAAATCTAATATCTGAAAATGTCTCTGAGGTTTACAAGCTTATATCTCTTTTACAAATAACACTTTCTTATTGCAGTACACATGCTGCTACATGCACATATACATTCTAAATGAAATCTCCAGTTTAGGTTTATGAATACAATTGCAGTTCTGTAGTTCAAAAGGAGAATACTTGAGAGACATGGAACTTCTGTTGTAGCTTAACAGATCACTTGTATAATGTAGACTGTGAAGGTAAAAAAAATTGTGATTATGCAATATCAAAGATTCTAATTTCCTCAGTAAGAAAACTCAGACGTGACCTTCATTTTGTCCTGGGTTGTGTGAATATTATAACAATTTTTCATAGCAAGATTAAGAAAGGATTTCTTACCCAAAGTATCTCAAATTAAGTGCAACTAATACAATAGCAACTGAGCAAACTTTTCTAAACTCTGTTACATCCAATATGGAACTGGATGATTGTAAAGATCCTTTTCTGGACCTAAAAACTAAACCCTATGCAATAAAAACTAAACTCAATGCAATAGATACTGACAAAACTCTGTATGGGCACCTAGGTGAAAAAGAAATATGCAATTTATACATCTCATTTTCTCTCACTCATGTTACAGCACCTCACCTCCCCCAGGCTATGCTAGAAAAGCATCAAGATTAAAAAGTCCAACAGAACAAATCTAGGAAGTGCTGGAGTTAAGGTGAGCAATTTGTCAAAAAAAAAACCTTTCCAGTTTTAAAGAAGCCACAATGAGAAAAAATTTCTTAGCTCTAAGACAGAGAGGGGACAGAGGCAAGGTTAGAAAGCAAACAGTAGCTGACATTTATTGACTGTTGAAAACTTGGGTTTAAATCTTTGCTCTGCCAGAGACAGACCACAGATTTACTTCAACATGGTCTTTTGTTTATCTGAGGACCTCCTCACCAGCTCTCAGTAAGTCTCCAATCCACTCAGCATACTGCCTGACTTCTAAACCCGTTAGTCTCTGGACTCATCTCTAGCCTTTAGAGCCTCTAATCTCTATCTACAGTACTGATGGAGTCCTGATTACAAGGCAAAAGAAGAAATTTTTATATACTTTGATACCCCTTCTCTTAAACATCCAAGGCCTACTTAAATAAGACCACCACATCATTAGGAACTTGCAATGCCACCCATTGCAATGCATTTCACACAGCTTCTGAAGTTAAACCAGTTTTGCAGTCAGACAGCAACAAAAATTTGCTCCAGACACAGCCTTGCAGAGATGTTAAACCCAGAGAAAATAAGGCATACCAGAGAAGTACCAGTGCATCTGCCTGCGGACACAATCACCGATCCTTACACTGATTATGACTCCTATTCATTCCTCAGAAAACCCATGTATGTACTCTGAATAGTTGTTTTTTTGTTCCAGCATCAGTGTTAAAATGCTGTTATGTGGCAAAGAGATAAAGATCTCCAGTTTCAGCCATGCAAGGAAGATGTGAGATTCCTAGTATAGATGTAGAGATAGGTAATGTGTGAATATTTATGTATTTAATTACACATAGTGCTTGCTGTGTAATGCTTGGGAATTTACACTTCTTTGTGTGCTCTAATACCATTTACATTAGCTCTGTTCATCCTGCACTGCCTCCAGGAATATCTTTATCACTTCCATGTGTGAACATTTTGTCTAATTACACTTTGATAAACTGTCATATAAGTACAATCATAGATGCTGTGCCCAAAATCTGTAAACCTTCTCAGTGAGGACAGAAGTTGAAGTTGCTGACTGACTCAGGAGCACTCCATTTTAAATTATGTGCCTGGAGTTTATTTCAAATTAATCAAGTAGTATTATATTTATTATAGTATCTATTGATATCTTAATTCAAATATGAAACAGTTAACTCCCTGCATGAGCTTCAATTGCTATGAAAATAAAATAGGTATTAAATTCTGAAAGGAATAAATGATTGATTCCTATAACTTCTTTTCTTCCTGTGGCTTCAAAATAGAATTCTGGGGTCTCAGTCTTGAAGTTTATATTGTTTTTTACAATAGAAAATTGCAGCATGTTTAAGAACAATTTTGTCAGTTATGATGAATTCTGAAAACTTTATCTTTAGAAATAAAAGAGCTACAAAGTACTCATCTGCAAACTCAGTTGATTTCCTTTAATATATCTGCTTAAACTGCAAAAATCTCAATAAATAATTTAAATAGAAAAACTTCTGCAATTCAGTTCCATTTTCCCAATTATTATCTGTTTGCATCTTTCTTACTTGTTTTTTTCTTTTAATTTTAAATACCGCATATAAAGAAATAAAAGAGAGAAATGCTTGCCTGAACATTTTCAAACGGATTCTTGTTGCCATAGGATTCACTGAGGTATGTGAAATCATCTACACTAAGCTGAAAAACAAAGAGAGTAGGTTGGTGAGAAGGAGCCATGGCATTTCATTTAGGTAGACTTGTACTCAGCATTGGTGAGAGAAAAGGAATTGATGTCACATACCCTATCTTGCAGAAACAAGACGAGGTTTCTGGAGTTCTGGGTAAAAAGAGATTGCAAGAGTACTGTCAGCTCCTGTGCTGAGACAACGTGCCCTTCATGCATAGCAGTGTCTGGATTCCACTGTGATCTACAAAAGAATAATTTTTTTCTGTAAAATTTCCTACCAATGATGATACCTCTTCTTTCTTTAAATATGCAGCAGCAGATAACGATATCCTCATTTTTAGATTAAGTTTACAGTTCAGTTTACTTTCATTCTACTCAACAGAAAAAACACTTGCCCATTTATTTCTGTATCTGACTGATTGTGTTAAAGCAGGAATGAATTTCATCCAACAGGGTAATGTCTTTCTCTATTTTCTTGTTTGTGTGCAACAGCACAGTTGCATCTTTCCAAAAAAAGTTAGTTACTAAGTGGAAAGAAGAAGAATATGTTGAAAACCTTCAGAGAGAATTCTCAGAGGCAATCTGAACTCCCAAAACACTTGCCAGCAGGTATGTTGCTGGTCAAGAAGAGTAGAACTCAGACTAGACCACAAGTTGTCATAAACTAGTACTTTTTAATAAAAGCTTTTGTTATGTAGAAATGTCTCTTCAGTGTTATTGTAAACATGTTCTCTCTTAAGGTTTTCACGACGAAGGAACCATTCTGCAGAAGCCACTCAGAAAAGCCACCTTTCCAGCACCAGAAGCTCTTCTGAACGGAATGGTTCAAGACACCAAGAAAAGCTCACAATTCTTTTGCCACCTTGCTAGTTGGGAAAAGAGATCAACCTGCCTACAACCTCTATCAGATAGTTGTAGAGAGCGATAAGGTCTCTCATCAGCCCCCTTTTCTCCAGGATAAACAACCCCAGCTCTGTCAGCCAGTCCTCGTAAGACTTGTGCTCCAGCCTCTTCACCATTTTTGTTGCCCAGTCAGTATGTTTTACTGGCTGGTTTACTGTGAATTGCAGGGTGAAACAGAGATATGTGACTGCCACAGATTGTGGATACACTGATGGTGTGCCTTACTGAATGCAATCAACCAGTCCATCCCTTTGAACTCTTCACCTCAAGTGATCAGCAAGAGATCAGTAAGCAATGACATGGGGTGAAATGGGCAGTTGGCCAACACACATATTGATTGCTATTATTGATTGCTCGCACAAAATTTTATGTCCCAATATGCAACAGCCTTGTGCAGTCACCCACACAGCAGGTGCATCAGACTCACCACCACAGAACCATCCAAAGATGACAAGCATCTTTGCTAATGTAGGTGGTCTCCTGCAAATAAGTTTAAGGAAACTTAAAGCAAAGTATTAATTTTTCTATATAAGCATAGCATAAATGAAGGCAGTAATATATTTTCAATTACTATAGGCAAAAATCATTCCCAAAACAAACACATGAGGGGGCAATTGCAAGACCTAATTTTAATGAATTTATTTCCTCAAACTCCCTGTCTTATCTATGGAGGGAGAGAAATTCTTTTGAATATTGGTTCAAAAGGCTAAATCAAATTTCTTCTGTCTATCATATGCAACAAGAATTTCTCAATCTCTCCTGCTTTGAAAAGCAACCAGAGAATATTAGTTAAAAGGCCAATTTTAGGTAAAGGCAAATTTTTCATGCCAAGGTTATTTGGAGAATATCCAGTGATACATTAGTATTTCTTTGTGAAAAGTACAACATTGTGACCTACTGAGTTATTCCCAAGTTGAATGGAGAAAGATTGTTGTTTTTTAAAAATCACTTTTCTCCAAGTAGAGATCTGCATTTTTTTTTATAGAGGGAAGAGGTATTTGATTTACTAATGTCTCTGTAAGGACTGATATCACACTTCCCTTATGCTTTGTGCACTACATGTGTTTGTCAGCTGCAGGTTTCATCTCTAACATTATCTTTAATAGCATGATTATAGTACAATAATAATGCATAAAAGAGACTTTGAAGTGTTACATTTCATAATACAGCTGAGATATGGCTTTAAAAACTCTGACTATTTCTAAATAAGAACAAAATGTAGTATGCTTCAACTATTCAATATCAAATCCTAACAGATAATGTGGCAAAGGGTGATGGAATAGATCAGTGAATCTCAACTTCTATTGATCAATGAAGCATTAAACTTTTAAACTAGTGGGACATGTTCCTAAAAAGTAAATAGAAATCCATTGATAATTGCTGCACTTCTGTAGTTAACTTTCCTAAAATTCTTAATAGTAGTTTCCAGATTTCATGGGCCTGTAGATCCCACACTGCAAACCTTGCATCACTGCAAAGTACCAAGATGTAAAGCACAGAGTTAAGGGTTAGCAACCAAAAGTTGCTGTTAGAGTTAATTTATTTTAGAAATAAATAAATGAATAAATATATAAACCTTCTTTTCAGTTGCTTCATTGACCTTCACTAGAACTAATTTCAGCTCCACAAGAACTTCTCCTTTCAACATGCAAATGTTGTGGCAGGAGGAACATTTCTTCCAGAAAATTTTCTATTTCTGAAAACATGAAACTGGCTTAACCAGTCCACTATCCTGATTTTCTTACTCTAGATCTGTATAAACCAGAACAATCTGCAGTAGAACAAGCCAATAATTGCATCTCGATGGAAAGTTTGCTTTTATGACCATGAGGGAGTAACTGATAAGATTTTGTTTATATTGACAATAGGTGTGTTGCTTATAGAAACTAGGAAGTAGGACAAAGGATCTTTTCTTAGATGCTTAGGATCACTTTTATGCTAAGAAGAGCTCTTTCCAACACGTATTTTGTTTTTAAATACAAAGGTTTATTACTCATACATATGCCCATCTTATATAGGGGTGAATCACTAAGTATTTTGAATATAAAAAAAACCCTTGATGTTGAGATATCCATTTATTTTTTTCAGGAAAAAAAAGTCAAAGCTACCAAATCAAACTTTTTCAAAATTTTCAGATTTCTATATGCAGTGGTCCCCGCAGGGAACAGAGTTTCAGGTTTTGGAAATGCATAATAGATGAGTAGACATATGTCAAAGTCAGTAAATAAGTGGCCCATAGTCTTCTGACAACTTTACATATCCAGTATCAACCTGAACTTGCCCAAGTTGCCATATTTCTGGAAATCCTTAGTAATTACACAAAATCCTTAAAGTCTGCATGAATAAAATTCCTGGTTGGAAAAAGAGGGGTCTATATCCAGTTCTTTTAAGACAGTTTCACTCTTATTTCATAAATTATACACAAACCCCTGAATTTCATGTGTCTCTTTGGATCTGTCAAGACTGCAGTTGTTTCTAACAACTGGTACATATACGTTCAGCAGTGTATTCAAAAAACTGTATTAAAAAGAACATTAAAGTGAAAAGTCAGAGTTCAGGAGTTAGGAAATGCAAGGATTAAGGTTGCCTACACAGTTTTTGGTCAGCTCCTTTTTGTGACACTGCCTTATGGCGTGACTTTGAGTCACGATGTCTTCAACAGTCATGAGACAGACATCTCAAGGATGCCTTAGGGTGAATAAAGCACATCTACTTCAGATTTTTAGACCATGGATTTTATTTACTTCTTTCTGCCCGGTTTAGAACACTAAAATTATAAAAAAAAATGGGTAAAATGATCTACTGGGTTGTTTGATGGCCAAGAGGGAGATTTATTTATCGGAAAATTTTATTGCCATGAGCTGATTTACCAGAATCGATGCTACACAATATATAATTCTGCGCGCACACACACAGAGCAATAGCATAAGCAGGAATGCATTCTATTAGATTTCTTACCTCTGAGTTGACCAAAGCAGCATCGGCACATGGTCCACTGACAGAGACATTTTGAACAGCATAGCAAGGGTGCACAGCAGCGAGGCTGGAGCAGTACAGTAGAGCTGTGCCATGGCTCCAGGCAAGTGCACACGGAACTGGCCAGCCACAAAAGAAAAGTCTGAGCGTGTGCACAGCTGCACTTCCCGGTTGGGTTGCTGTTATCCAGATTCAGCCAGGCTGCTGGGTGACGTAGCTCTCTAACAGCAGGGGGAATTTTCAAAACATGAACTTCCTTCACTTGAACTTAGGAGTTACACATATTTTTAATACTCTTGGGTTTGGGATTTAAGCAGCTCGTAAAACTCTCTGCAGTAAAAGCATAGACTGTTGCCTCTAATGCAAGGGAGAGTCATAAGTCCAAACTCCTGTCCTACACAGGCTGATAAGAAAGTTGTGCAACTTCAAAATGGAGTTTATAGAAAGTTTTCTCCACTGCATAAAATGTATCCTGCAGAACTTCTCTCTTCTTCCCCTGTTACATATTATCATGTCCCTCAGCTTAGTTCTTTCACATGTATTGAGAGCTGGTGTCACACATTTGGGTGTTGACAGGTTTGAAATCTGCAACAAATCTACCCATTGCAGATTCCAGCAAGAAGCAGGAGAGAGAGAAAATGTTCAGTGTATCCACTGAAATATGGAATTGTTAAGCTATCTTTTGCATGGAGGATGCTATCCCAGAAATCAAAAATATCTAAGTCAGGGGCAAATTATAATCACTTCAGAAACTGACATGAGTTCAGTATTTCACAAGTCTCATGCATGATCAAAATAGTCACGGAGAATTCCTTCATGCCAGGAAGCAAATTCCTCTGGCACACATTTTTGTGCCTGCCAAACACTGAGCTGTTTCTACACCCCGTGACTACATTAGGCAGCAGCAGTCTTGACACGTGTTAGGTACTGGGCACTTCACCATCAGAACAGGATGTTAGAGACCATACACAAAAGAAATTCTGAGGTTTGTTAAAACAAGTTGTGATAAGGGAAAAATAAGGAACCACAATGAAAATTGTACAAGAACTCACAAACAGATATCAGAAGACATGCACGTCTGGATCTGAGCACACATAACTGGATCACTTAAATCCACTTGCCTTAGCCCAAAGCATACTGTTATAGTAAGGTTGTCTAATATAAGGCAATTTGTTCATCAATTCAATCTGAAATCAAATTTCTGGGACAAAAATAAAAATTTTGAGGGAAGCAATAAACCAAACTTCTACATGTTCCTTTTCTTTTCCATATTGATAACACAAAATTTAGCTCTTTAACTGCACTTTTCTCTCTTTTTCCTCCTCTGAGATACATTAGAAATCCTACCTCTTCCCTTTAACAAGCTAGTGTTTGTTCCCCAATAGTCACATCATGTGACTGAGAGTATAATCTAAACGATTCTTGAACTCTGGCAGGCTTGGTACTACGACCACTTCCTTCCACTGGGAGCCTGTTCCAGTACCCAACCACCCTCTGGGGGAAGAACTTCTTTCTAATATCCAACCTAAACCATCCCTGTCACAACTTCAGGCCATTCCCTCAGGTTCTGTCACTGGTCACCACAGAGAAGAGATCAGTGCCTGCCCCTCCTCCTCCCCTCACAAGGAAGTTGTGACTGCAATGAGGTCTCCCCGCAGTCTCCTCCAGGTTGAACAGACCAAGTGACCTCAGCTGCTCCTCACACGGCTTCCCCTCAAGGCCCTTCACCATCTTCGTTGCCCTCCTCTGGACACTCTCTAATACCTTAATATCTTTCTTATACTGCAGAGACCAAAACTGTGTACTGGGTCTGTACAAAACATTTCTGGGCAACAAGTAGAAGAACAAGACCATGTAGTTTCTACCCTGCTTCCTGTTCCTCCCCAATACCATGGCAACACAAACCACAGGACCTCCATCCAATTTCTGTATATGCTCTAATCACTGTGGGCCTCATCATCACATACTGAGCTTTGGATTTTCTTCACTGTTTTATGCTTCCAACATGGACAGTTGGTGGGTATACTTTCCGTATTCTACCTTATAAAAACAGTCTTAAAACCTGTTGAAACAAAACTAGATTGTTTACTCTCAGATTACCACATTACTTATGAACAAACTTTTAACCAAAACCAAACTGACTTCCTTTTTAGTATTTCTCCACAAACCACAGTTTAGGAACAATTGAAGTGAATAAAGCTTTGAAAAAAAGCAATGAAGAGAACCTATTGAGTGAAATTTTAATTTGCCTCCCTTGGTAAATTTAGCTCATAAATGTATCTGCTTATATTTTCTCCTTTTTTTTTTACTCCTAAAGGGTTTTTTTTGCTAAACAATAAGAAAAAATATACCTATTGCAAAGATATTTTAAAAAATATTACTTTCGTTCATTTAATAGCAATTAGATGATCACAGTGGATCTTTTATCTGTGAGCAGGAATCTAAACCCACTTTTGATTACTGTAAAAAATCTGGATTCAAAAAGAAGTGTGAATGATGAAGGTAAGTCCTGTAAGCCAGACTATAAGGGATGACTCTTGTTACAAGGACAATTGACAGTACAAGATAAGCCAGAGAACTGTGCATACACAGGTGACAAAAGTAAGTCCCATCCATTTTGCATGCAAATTTGATCCTTAAGCAATAGATTTGGGAGCTAACATGATACTACAGCAGCATATTAAAGAACTTCTGGTGAGGCCACATCTCGAGTACTGTGTCCAGTTCTGGGTCCCTCAGTTCAGGAAGGATATTGAGGTGCTGAAGCAGGTCCAGAGAAGAGCAACAAAGCTGGTGAAGGGACTGGAGCAAAAGTCCTATGAGGAGAGGTTGAGGGAGCTCGCGTTGTTTAGCCTGGAAAAGAGGAGGCTCAGGGGAGACCTCATCACTCTACAACTCCCTGAAAGGAGGTTGTAGCCAGGTGGGGGTTGGTCTCTTCTCCCAGGCAGCTATCAGTAAGACAAGAGGGCATGGTCTTAAGCTGTGCCAGGGGAGATTTAGGTTAGATATTAGGAAGAAATTCTTTACAGAGAGAGTAATCAGGCATTGGAATGGGCTGCCCAGGGAAGTGGTGGATTCTCCATCCCTGGAGGTTTTTAAGATGAGACTGGATGTGGCACTTAGTGCCATGGTCTGGTAACCATGGTGATGTTGGATCAAGGGTTGGACTTGATGATCTCAGAGGTCCCTTCCAACACAGCTGATTCTATGATTCTATGATTCTTCTCTCAGCTCAGATAATACACATATTCAAATTTAGGCTCTTTAAAAAAATAAATAATATTTAAAAGAATCCATGATTTGGATGATTTTTTGTTTTTAATCTCAGTTACTATTAGTATAATTTCCTATTGAAAAAGTATTTTCTATATGCCAAATAGGAGTCAGCAACTTTGTGCTACCCTGACATATTTAATTTATAATCCTGCTTTATCACTGTTTACAATAATTTTATTATCTAAGAAGGCAACTAATATTTTGTTCATTAGGACATCTTTTTAGGGCAAGGAGCTGGGGGAAACAATTACTCTGAGTTCTTCTTCCTTTGAGACATAAATAGGGAGATTTACATCCTGGAAAAAGCATGGATTTTCCTCTTGGAGTGGGAAGGCAAAATGCATGTGTTTCCTTGCAAATTACCATATTACTCACTTCTGCATGTGGGAAGACAGCTAGAATTTTCCCTCTGAAAATGGATTGCCAGTGGTGTTGGAGGTGGGTCAAAGGCAAATTTTGCTCCATGTTCCAAAACTCTTGCTCACAAGAGTCCTGTGAGGAAAGCAGTAGGTGTTGATGGGCCTCATGTCTCTGCTAGTGCAGAAGGAGCAATACAGGCCTTATGGGCCAATCCCCTTTACCTGGGAGTGAGAGTCTTTGTCCAGGAAAGAACTGAATCAAACACAGCATCTTTCATCAGCCTTTCAGGAGGGTTTCAGGAGTGTGAATTCCTCCTGAGCTTAACCTCTGAGCTATGATTTAAGAGACTTAATAAGCTTATCACTTCAGCCACTTATCAGAAGTGAATGGAGAAGGTTAGAATTTCACCTCTCCTTTGAAAAGGCACTGACACTTTACAGTCATTTGTTCTCATTATCCTGGAAGTATCTATGCTCCAAAGCAGAGGCCTTTGGATCCTAAAACCATATTCTGAGTAACTCTCTGAAATTCAAGCAAAGATGATCAGCTGTGCTTGTAAAGAATTTGATCAGTTCTATTAGAAATTGTCAGGTCTGACCTTTTATCTGAATAGTTTTCTTTTCCTGATAAAATGCAATGACTACTCCTAGAACTGTAGTATCTTTACTCTTCCTCTGATCTTTTCAGTCAGCTTTCCCAGTATTCTCCATTGTCTGATACAGAGAACACTTTCATTCTTCATACTTGTCCAGTACCATTTTAATATCATACATAATCTACACAAACAGGGGAAGCAATTCAGTAACTATGGGAGAAAAGTTTCAAATTAATTCCTTTTCAAACGCAATACAATTATAAATGCTACGGACAAAAAGTGGTAAAAAAATCATTGGTTTTAAATTCAGTAACAATATCAATAAAGCATTTATAATGATCCAAATTAACAATTAAAGACAACTAATGTGAAGGATTTTATAGTGATTTCAATTATGATACATTTTTTAAAAAGCTATACTATTGTAATTATGTTGGCTTTACTTGGCTTTGCCCTAGCAAGAGAACTCAGATATCTGATGTATTGAAAATACTTTTCCATTTTGCAACAGCTCTCTTTCCATACATTGTATCCTCCAAAACTTTCAATCTCTATGCTTTCAAAAGCCATTTTTGAAACTGATTTGAAGGACATTAGTATTCACTTTATACAGGCAGATACTTATTTTGCAGACAGCCATGTCCCAAATATTAGTCAAGTATCCAATTCACTATAATTACAAACAAATTTTAACTATTTACACAAGAGCTTTTACAGTGTGATTAAATGGCACTGCCATTGTTAGGAACTACCAAATGCTGGTGATGAATGGAGTTACATCCACTTGGTAGACAATCACAAGAGCTGTTCCCCAAGCCTCAGCACTGTGATCAGTCCTGTTTAATGTCTTTATTGATGATCTGGATGAGGGATTGAGGGCACCCTCAGTCAGTTTGCAAACAACACCAAGTTGGATGGCAGTGTTGATCTGCTGGAGGGTAGGAGGGCTCTGAA